TTTGGAACCACTGTGCGCCAGCACGGCAGCCCGTTAATTTTGAGTTATAGGAGAATTTGGTAATAGAAAAACCGCGTGAATTTATCAAGGCCACGACTCAAGGTTTCGCGTGAAAATTTAAAAATACTAAGCTGGAAACTTATCGAATTTTGACGTTTCGAGTTCTGGCCGGAATGGAAATTGATTTATTATAAGAACATTTAGATTTATATGCGATCATTTTTATTTTTAAACCTCGGAAAAATTGTACTGGAAGCTTCCAAATTTCGAGCATTCGAAAAATTTGCGAATACAAGAGATGACTACATGTCATCTTTATAGACTTGCGAAACGCATTTGATTCAATCATTAAATCTAAGATGAACTAAAAACGCTGTGAATCCACAAAGAAATCGAGAAAACTGTTGGAACAATCAAAAATACGCAGCTGGCACTAATTTAATCATAAACATAAGATTTGACAAATCATTATAAATTTAATAAAACATGTGGTAGCTGTTTCTGAAATTGCTCTACTTACTATCTAACAGTTATTTCAATTTATTCAATTCAATTATATACAATATACATGATATGACAACATAGTATTAAAAAAAAACTTAGGCTTGTACTAATAAATGCACCTAAGTGACTTAACACTTGTATGTGCAAGAATGAAATGTAAAATATAACATAATAAATATAGTTTTAAAAAACTAAAAAACACGCTTTTAGAGCATAACAAACTAAAAAGTTAAAAATAATTTTTCAAATAAGCTTAGAACAATAATAAATGGAAAATACTAGTATTATTGTGAAAAGGCGTCGGGCGCTCGATGTACGAGAAATATGGACAAAGCACGCCACGCTTTTTTCACAATAATACTAGTATTTTCCATTTATTATTGTTTTAAGCTTATTTGAAAAATTATTTTTAACTTTTTAATTTGATATGCTCTAAAAGCGTGTTTTTTAGTTTTTTTAAACTATATTTATTTTTCACTTTTTAGTTCGATGTATTATAAAAGCGGGTTTTTTAGTTTTTTTAAACTATATTTATGTTTTACTTTTTAGTTTTATTAAAAAAAAAATTTGTAAGTTGAAATTGCTGAAAAAAAAATTTGTAAGTTGAAATTGCTGAAAAAAAACAATTATTTTTTTTTCAGCCGTGGACGGGATTAGAACCCACGATCGGTGAGTCTGGCGATCGACGACCCGCGCCTTAGACCGCTCGGCCAACGAACGAACTTGAGGTAGTGGGATACACTGAGTAATAAGCTACTTGCTTTTAGTCCAAAGGAGAGTTACAAACATACATATATACCGGCGAAGCTAATAAAAGCGTGTTAAAATATAACAATATAATTGATTTAAAGTTACTCTGAACTATACAGGGTGTAACTAAATAAGTGTAAAACATTTAAGGGGGTGATTCCTCATCGAAAAAAAGATAGGATCTTCCATATAAAGAAACTTCATTGGAGCATCCCTTGTTAAGATACAGCACCTTAAAGGGGGTACATAAAATTTGTTTAACAATTTTTTTCACAAGCACTAAACAAGTTACAATATTGAAATTAACCTGTCATTTTCTACTACCAAAAAGACACTTAGCAAGTAATTTATTTGGTTTACCCCATGGTTGTAAGGGGTGGAAAACGCAACCCCTAAAATTTCGTTCCAACGTAACTTTTTGTCTTATTATTTGTTCATTTAAAATTTTATTTCCGATAGCCTGTTTCATTCTAAACAAAAAATGTCTCTTGAATTTTTTGCCCAAAATAAACCAGTTCGCAGCAAAAAATTATTTTACGAACAACTACAGAGATACATCGTCATATCTTGTTCGTAAAATAATTGTTTGCTGCGAACTGGTTTATTTTGGGCAAAAAATTCAAGAGACATTTTTTGTTTAGAATGAAACAGGCTATCGGAAATCCTATCCATGATGCTTAATAAATAAAAGCAATATTTCTGTTCGTGGGGTCTCTAAAACAAAAGGTTATCCCATGAGAATTCAACCCAAAAACCTTCATAAATATATTTTTTTTCACGAAGTAATAATCCTTAAAACAGTTAACTCGCTCATCTTTCTAGTTTCAAATATTAAGACTGATTTCGACAAGATTGTGATACAAAATTCAGAGAATTTCTGCCTTAATAAATATACCACCCATTTTTGTATGCACCCAAATTCGTTCCCACTGCAGCTACGACAAACTGACGTCCCAGTCATTAAAACGGATATAAAGACCCGTTCCCCAGGAACTAGAGATTCATTATTATTTTATATCCAAGCATTTAGTATTATTTTATATCCAAGCGTTCATTTATTATTTTGTATCCAGTTACCTATATTTAAAGTTCAGTATTCAGTACCTTTCCTAAATCGATGATCTTCCTAACTGACGTCTATCCTACAATACCTCCTATACCCCTGTCAACGTCCGGCGCCCTACTTTCCTACCTTTTTACGTCCTGAACTCTGTCACGTCCCGCACCACTTAAGTATTTTCTACTATTCATCCCGACGCTCAACGTCACGGCGCCCTACTTCTTTACCTTTCTACGTCCCGAGCGCTATCACGTCCCGCACCACCTAAGTATTTCCTACCATATATCCATCCCGACGCCCTACTTCCCTACCTTTCTACGTCCCGCACCACCTAAGTATTTCCTACCTTATATCCATCCCAACGACATATCTCCCGAACGCTGTCACGTCCCGACAATCAACGTCAATCTACTTCTCAGCGCTTGCCGTGTCCCTAAATGTCCTTCATGATATCCTTGACGACACCCTTCGTCGCGAAGCACCACCTAATTATTTCCTACCGTATATCTGTCCCGACGCAGTACCGTAATAAATACCTTCCTCTACGCCTGGACGCTAGGCGTCTCGACGTAGGGCGACGCTTAACGCTATATAAAATTAGTACATAATGTCTAGTTTAAATGAGCCTAATGTCTGCATTTTCAATGGTGAGTCAAAAATATAATGTAACTTTCTTTGATATACCACTGGGGTTTCGTTTTGAATGAGAGCCTGACATTTGCTTTAAAATATTATCAATGTAACCCAATAAACCACATGGCCTTCAGGCATTCACCCCAAAAAACAGTTAAGTTAGACATCTGTTTTTCAATGGGTAAATTTGAGTCTTTTCAATAGAAATTATAAATATCGATATTTTAGAAATATACAGGGATGTATGGTCTTCGATAATTATCCAAACCTAGATGGTAAAATTTATTAGTACTTAAGTTAATCAACTGGTGAATTGACACAGTTTGTTAGCTCAAGGGGCACCTATAATACTAAGCCACCCATTCTACTAGGTTTGAACAATAAAATATATGTAAAAATCAGCACAGTAAGTTAACCAACTGGTGAATTGGTGCTGTTCCTTAACTCCATTGGTTATCAAGCTAAATAAAATATATCTTCATAGCACATGAATGTGGTCCACCTCTGAGCAGGATATCACTAAATAATACCATTTGTAATATGCATTGTAAATTATTGCAATGCATTTAAAGTATGAAAAATAAAAGGGTTCAATTATAATTTAGTATGATTTTATTTACCTTTTTGCACCAAACTTTGCATCGAATCCTGATTTATCTTAATTAACATTATCACAACATGGGTATACAAATTATCAATAAATTAACTAGACAAACACTACTACTACTACTACTACTACTACTACTAGATGAAAAAGGCCAAAAACAATAAGTATAGAATTTAAAGTAAAACAAAATTAAGAGGTAAATAATATGTCAGATTTAAACAAAAAATTAATGGGGGTATGGGGTGGGCTGTTACAATGGTTGGGAATTGTTATAGATAAGAATCACCAGTGGAGTCATCAGATCAACACTCTTAACAGCAAACTGGGCTGGTTTATTATAATTTTATGAGTTTTTAAAAATAAATTCTAGAATCTATTCTAAGATATGGTACTTAGGTATTTTTTGAGGAGATCTATACAATAAATAATGACTTTCAAGCATCTTAATAGTTGAAAAAAAAAATGATTTCATCCTAAAATACCTAGTTAATGTGAACAAATCCTTAATATAATAAGGAAATGTACTTTAAAAATCGTTTATCAATTGTATTTTTTAGGGAAGTGACAGCCAAAGATTTCTAAAAATCTAGGAGAATTTTTTTAAACTTGAAAGTTTCACAAGCAACAGCTTATTTTTTAACCGTCTTTCTTTTCTTCAGTTTACTTTATACTTTATAAAGCTTCAACTTTTTGATATTCACAAAGAGCCACCACTTATTAAACAGTGAAATATAAATATTAATTTTATTGCCATCAAAAATAATCATGAGCCCTGTGGAAGGCTGAGCAATTGTAGGTACAAAATTCTTAAGTTACCCAGAAATCAACTATCACAATTAAAACTATTAAATTATTGTATTTGTTGTACTTAAATACTTAAATAAAGTGTTTAACCATAAGTAGATTTAAATAACATTTTTTTATGTAATTTATTGTTAAATTTACCAAAATAAAAAAAAACATTGTGGTAATTTGTAAAATAGGTAATTAATAGCTTTATTTTATAGACTAATTATAAAATCTCTATTTTAAAAATAAAAACAAAGAGTTTAAATTATGTCAAATACTTTTAAATGTTTGAACAGTAATATTTATTTACACAAATCTAACCCTGATTGAACCTCTTGAAATAGATTTAGCGGAATTAGTAATCTCAAAATAAATAAAGAACCTACTAGTTAATTCAAAAATATTTAGCAGTCTCTATACTTTTGTAATTTGTTGTGTAGGTACAATGATCGATTTGGTTCTATTTTAGTGAAACACACTAAATGAGTTGAACCTATAAATACACCACTTGGTAATATTTTTGTAATTTGTTTTTACCCCTATTGGGGCACTATAAATCATACACTGGTCAGCTGTAGTAGCCATATTGATGAAATTTACGTCATTAAATCCAGGGCACTGTCTGCCACAGGTGGATGTTCAAAAACTATTTTTTACCTGATGCAAAGCCGTCAGTCCATCCACATTTGCAGTGTTAATGTCTGCTCCTTTATGTAATAGTTCCAACACTTCTTTTTTGTCACCAGCGGCACATGCAGCTAGAAAAACACATCCCGAGGAAAATTTTATTTTACGAGTTTTTTGTTTCGGTGTCACTGGTTCCCGATTTGTATCAGATTCCTCCCAACGTTTCAGCTGTTCTGCCCTTTTGAAAAGGGCTGAAGTCGATCGAGTCTCTAACGACATGATTATTTAATAGTTTTAAATTACACACGGTCGAACACCATTACGAATATAATTGTACCAATAAAATTTCTAAATTCTTGAAGCACATAACAGAGGGTGCGGTTGGCAAAATGCAAAATAAACTTCATAAACTTCAAAATTATGCTGCCACCACTAAAAAATTTAAAATACTAAAATCATAGCCCTTTTCCATTGACAATCAGGTTATAAACCTGAGCAGGCAGCGTTCGAATTGTGTACACCGTGGTGTAAACGTAGAGTAAGACAAATGCATATTACACGATAGGTCTTTTTAATCTAAGGTCTTTTCCTTTGCATCGAAACTAATCGAAAGTGTAGCACTGAGCCATGCCACTTCTGAAAATATCGTTCCATCCATACAATTATAAGTATAAATGCAAAAGACCTGGACAGGGATTCTTATGTGCGTACTCACCACGAAACGAATTGAATAGAGAGAGAGACATTACACATGAATAGCATTCTGTGAAATGAAGATACGAAGATAGTCGTCTCAATACGTGCCGAATTGAAAGATGAGAATCCCAATGATATTACCAATGAAGGGGTGGATATGTTACCTACCGTTCATGCTTAAAATTTTAAGTCGGTCTTTACATTCGGAAATGAAAGTTTGATAAATTTCACTGTAAAAAACTTAGAAATGTATCGTTCCTATAATAGAATAAAATTACAATATTATATTTATATCAGTTTTTTAATTTTTCGTTAAAAATATGTTGAATAAAAAAATCTATATGCCTCTGAAACACATCTTTGATGTTGGATTCACCTTTTATGAGATATTTACTATAAAAATGAAATACTTATGCTGCGTTTGAGAATCCACATCGGATGCATTTTTTACATTTCGAGCGTTTTTTTATCCACATCGGACACATCTGTCCCATTACATTTATTGCTGCGTTTGAGAATCCACATCGGATGCATCTGAGATGTAAAAAATCTTTGATCACGTGATTCAGTATACGTAAATGTAATGGGACAGATGTGTCCGATGTGAATAAAAAAACGCTCGAGATGTAAAAAATGCATCCGATGTGGATTCTCAAACGCGGCATACGTATACTGCATCACGTGATCAAAGATTTTTTACATCTCAGATGCATCCGATGTGGATTCTCAAACGCAGCACTTGTAGGTACGTACCTATTTGGGTCAAATGCAGTCAAATGAAATATCAAAATAACGTAACCGGAAACCTTGTCATTTGTCAAAAGTCAATGAGAAATTTCCGTTTCCTTCTTCAGCACATCGCATGTCACATTTTTCCTTTTCCTTTTCGTTTCTGATCTTTAAGGAAGAAGGAAGTGTGTTAGTGTAATGCCGGTATTAATTTATTTTGCAATTTCAAATAAATTCTAATTTTATTATAATACATAGTCAATTGTATTTCTAAAGTGATTTAATTATTTTCTTAGATATTTCGTTATATTTATATTACCGTGTTAGCAAGTTATCGTTTTAATTTCTACATACGTAGGGTAAGTCGTCCATGTTTGTTTGAAATAGCGTCGTTTCGTTTTCAAATTGGTAAAATTACTTTTAATCCGTATCGATTAATAAATTAAATTTAAAAATGATTGATTGTATCGACTGATATTCTTTATATAACAATTTTGTTTTAATAGAAATAAACTCAATCATGCCTAGAGGCAGAGGTTATTCTTCAACGCCCAGGGGTTACCGAGGTAATTCACATCGAGGAAATTCGTCGTGGAATGGAAGCTCTAGCCGAGGTAGTCGAGGAGGTTATCCCAGTTCCTCTAAATACAACTCATTTCACTCTTCAATGGAATCTAGAAGTCCTTATGAGCCCAAGTCGAAATATTCCAGCTCTTCAGACCGTTTCTCTAGATCAGACGACTATCATAAGTCTTACCGATCCGTAAGTATTTTTAATTTATTCATATCTTTTCAATACTTCCAAATCGTGGATGACTGATGAATATGCATTTTAAGTCCTAAATTTGAATAAAACGTATTTACCTTTTTTACAATTACAATTTTGTTTTTATATAAATGTTTAATGTAACAAGAGCACAGTGGAAGGTGATTAAATCATCCCATTAATTTTCAACCTAATGGTTTTTTAATAAACCTTCTGTCATCAGATTATAAGTAACATAAAAAGTTATGAATTTATCAATCAAATTTGGGGCTACCATTTATTCCATAATGCAAAAAATGTTATTTCACAAAATATGGAAATTTTGAGAAATAACCTAAATTATTATTGTAATTCCAATGCGCTAGTTCAGTGTGATGTCATTTTGGTTCCACTGACATTTAATTCTAACCAAATTTTAACAAAAACATCAATAAATTTGACATACGTTTTCTACTGTTTTTATTTTATTTCAAAATATTGTTTACAGGTCATAAAAAATAGTTTAAAGGTATGTAATTGGTAACTAAAAGATTGTATATTTGATACATGCTATCTACTTTAGGAATATATTTATAAAAGTGAAAAAAAGATAAGTTAGGTGAACAAAACGCACTCAAAAAATTCAGTGGAACCATAATTACATCATCACTGAACTAGTGTATTAAAAAAAAGGTACAGGGCGTTACTTAATGGTAGGCCGTAATTTCAAGGGTAGGCTATGGTCGATATTAGGGACAGTAATTTTGTCCCTTTTTTTTTATAAAGATTAAGTAAAACCATAATATTTTTACACTTTTTAATCTTCTATAAGTGTGCACTAACCTAATTAAAGCAACAAATATTATTAAAACACATTTGTAAGCTAAAAAATTAAGAATATGCATTTATTCACATTCTCACATAGCCATATTGTTTTTAATTTTTTCGATTTGACAGTCACAAAAAGCGCCTGTGCGTGATTTTAGCGATGTTGCCAATTGCTTTTTGTTATTTGTTCTAAATAAATATATTCGTGGTAATACCATTGCTAAATTATTTTTTGTTTATGAATAATATGACAACTGACATTTTTATTTCTATAAATGTGGTGTTGTCAAACATAGTAAAAGAACGTACATAACAGGAATGACGATTCATTTCAATTATTCAATTTGAGCTGTGTCCAGGCCGTTGGAGTCTATGCTGGTCAGCGTAGCCAGGTATGGGTTGATGTTTTTTGGTGGCGGCCGCCACCCTACGATAAGTCGTTGCTTCGTTTTCTTGCATATTTATGGACTGGCATGTGCAATCACAATTTTCCATTAACTACTAATTTTATCACAATCCGGCAACGTTGCAATTATATTTTCCAAATTTGACAGAAATCGAGTTTCGATGTTTACAGTCCTCAAAATGCTGATTTTTATAGAAATTAAATAATTTTTTTGGCTTACATAATGCATTAACAGCATTTTTTTTTTTTTTAATGCATTATTTAAAATACGCTTTCTGATAAAAAAAAATAAATTCTTTAAAATTCTACTGTCCCTAAAGTGGTCCGGACCCCAAGGGTATATTTCTGAACCTAATTCAAGTATAAAAGTTTTTATAAACACTTATCCTAAAAAGTCTGATTTTTCAAGAGTAAGTCTTTATTTAAATAGGTGGAAAGGAGTGCTTATAAAAATGAAACTAGTGTAAATTTTCTTCTTTGGGACCCTAAGGAATAGTTCCTCAAAGTTACACCAAAATCTAAAATGGATCTGCAACAATTTTTTTATTTTCAGACGATTTTGTATGGAATGACTCTATAGATTAAAAGTAAAATAGTTATTTCAGTCTCCTTATTCCCTAGTTCCAAATAATTAAATATAACCTGGCAACTATGTAACGATTCCAGCTGTCAAAACTAGCAGGAACAGGAATGGTGCGCACAGGCGCATTTCCAGGCCCTTCAACTGCAACATTACTGCCCTTTTTTACTTGCATTTGGATCAGATTTTTGCCTTTGAATTACGGCCATTAAGTAACGACCCAAATATAGAGCACTTCTTAAGAGCAAACTGAACACCTTGAAAATTTCTAACTCCTTCTAACCCTTTATTTTAGTCCATTTTTGTGAAATTTTCAGAAAATGATATTAAAACTTAAGACAGAGGCACCTTGATTTTATGTAAATTTTTATATTTATAATTTTTAAATGTAATTAAAAAACCTCATTCTGTATTAAATCTATGAAAATTTGCTGCTTTTTGTTTTAATATTTAGTAGTTTTTAAATTTGTCGTTTTCTCACCTTTTTTTCTTAAATTTCTCTGTGGAGTGCTGCTTTATTGGTGCACATATTTAAATCTTTCAATATTCTCAGGACATGTAACATCACAAAGTACCTATTCCCAATGGCACACAAATATAATTTTATATTAGAAAATTCTCACATTTTTCTTTTCACAAGAAGTCTGGTTTGCTCTTATCTGAAATGCCATTTTAAACCATGATAAAAATAGTCAATTTTGCCATGAAATGTTGAAACTAGCATCAAACATGTTAGAACAAACCTATTAAATGCTGAAATGTTATGTTTTCATATTAATTCAGAAGGGAACTTGTTTTGATAGGACTATAGCCACAGCCTTAGTCGAGACAGAAGGTCACCAGATCGCAAACGAATGAGACTTGAGGTAAGTACTAGTTTATAAACTTTATTTTTCACAGGACGTTGAAGGAGAAGGACTTAAATGGTAAAAAATACATTGGCCTAAAGATTTGATAATCAAGAAGTAATGCCATAAGAAAAATATTAAAAGTGATGAAAAATCAGAAATCAAAGGAGAAAATATCCATTAAACAATGAAAAAATCTAGAATGTTCTAAAGTTTTAGAGGCGTGAAAGCCCCTGCTGGTTTGTTTTCTTCAAAAAAAAAAAAAAAATAAATTAAAAATGAACTATAAGAATGGACCCTTAACTATCTTCAAAAAATTGTTTAGTAAAGTAAAAATGAAAAAGTGGCTTCTAGCTTATTAACAAGGGCTGAGATTGCCCCAATTATGTAAACTTAAGCACAGTAGAACGTGTTTTATGTATATTTATTGTCCGAGGTTTGACAGAATTGGCGAGAGCCGCACACAAACTGATGTTTGCTCTTAATCTATGTTGTCCAGGCTCCTAGTTCCAGACACGATAGTTACTATGGTTCAAGCAGACATGACCCACCACCACCGCCATCTTATTCAGCATCTTACTCGGATCGACGACTGTCGAGTGAACGCCACCCATCTTCTTCTCAGTTTTCCAGACGAGACGATTTCCGCAGGCCCTCGGGCCCGCCGAAACGCGGCAGTTACCGCGGAAGGCTCAGTTCTAGGGGCTCCAGGGGCATGCGTATGTCAGAGCGCCCAATGAGACGACGGCTAGTTGAAAGTTCTTACGTGGTGCGGAAGAGAGTCATACCCCGTGTGGCTGACTTCCAACGGAGGTTAAAGATATCTAGAATGAGGAGGTAAATAACATACACAATGATATTAATAACGTGAAAATTGTTTTTTTGAAATGAATGTTTATACAATTTTGTGATTTGTTCCACTAGATATGTACGACAGGAGCACTGGATTTGGTGTGGCTTGTATTTTTTTTTAAGTACACACATCACTTTTGATTTTTTTATTTAAAAACCAGGTACTTTTTATGGAAAATGATGCGGCTGATTGACTAGAAGAATTCCTTCATCATTTGGGATGATTTTAATACATTGTATCGATATTTTGAGGTGGTTTTAAATTGTTCTTCAAATTAACTAAAAAAAAAACTATATTTTAATGCAAATCTGAGTTAATTTGCAACTAGTTGTAAAGAAAACAACTGTCAAATATAAATCATTTCGATTTTTAAAAGATATCGTAAAGCTGCTAGATTTTGTTGACCACCAAAACACCTCAAAATATTTCTATATTTACCAAAGAGGTAAACAGATTCCCTCGTATTTTACATCTTTTCTATGAAGAAAAATGCAGACTCCTAATATAAAAAAATTATTTTCCATTAGAATTGATATTGATATTTTTTAGAAAGTCTTTCTGTATTGAAGATAAACTATAAGTATGAAATTAAAATCTAACAGAAATTGATAAGATAAAAAATACTTATTGACCAGAGACTAATCAAACTTGAAATAACTAGACATTTTAGACAATTCCAGAATTACGTATGAACTGAAAGAAGAAATATTGGATATGGTACCAGTTGTTATTTTTCTTAAGTGAAATAAAGAAGTTTTGACATATTTGTGACCAACAAGAATGTTTGGCAATATTTTATACTTAGTTTTTCTCTTATTTAGTATACTAAAGGAAAATCTAAAAAAATAGACATGTTCACTAGTATTCCACAAACATGTCATACAGTGTTTGTGTCACATTTTTATTAAATTAAGTATTGAAATCATTCGGATATCAAATAATAAATTTTACTAATTTTATTGGTTTACTGTTGATACCTTTTAAATTATACAGACTGCTGAATGGATAAAGAAATCTACTCGACTACTGACAAGTTGTGGATAGTTGAGTAGATGTCTGGCTAGAAACTTTCGCAAAAGCTACAAAGATTATTCATGGCTTTGCGACAAAGCGGATTCTGATCATCTAAACTGCCATATATGTATAATCAATACTTTTAAATAGTTTGGTTTTAGAATGACTTGAAAAGTGTCAACTTTCACTATATAATTTGCCTTGTTTCTTGGGCAAAGAACTATTTTTTTTTTTTTTTTAATTCTTAATCATACGAGGCTATAAAAAACGTCGTTTAATCCCAGTCTGCAAAATTGACAATCCGATTCGTGGCAAGATAATATATATTTTATGGTAAAATAATCTTTTTGTGAAATATTTTTACTTTATAATGCATGGTATCCGCCAAAATAGCATATGGAGGGATTTTTAATAACTAAGAATTTTAAAATGTTTTGCTATAGCCATAATTTTTCTCAATGATTTAATTAACTGCTGAGCTAAAAATGAAAAATTAGACCCATGTGCCAATTACATTTTATAACTTAAGAGGAGTAGATTAGTTTTTACAAAGTAATTGAATTTACATGTGCCGGTCCTCTCTTTTACTCGTTTGGTAAATAATAAAATACAAATATTGTCTACAAGACATTTTTAATTATCTACAATTTAATTTTGAAAATACAGGTGGTGTCTGTTATTTGCATTAAAATGAGACCGTCGTCGTACGTGACCGACATTACAGTTAACTTGTTTTAATATTACGATGCACTTAATGATTTGCCAAAATAATCTTTTTTTTTTATTAATTTTCTTGCAAAGTACAATTTTGTTCAAGGTGAGGATATCTGAAATATTGCTCCAACAACCTTGATGAAATTGAAACAAGATGAAAATGTATCTATAATATCCTTACGTCTTGAAAATGCAATATATTTGTGGACACCTACAATAATATAAATGGGAAGAGAAAAAAATAAAAGCTTAAAGTTTGAACTTTTAGTCATCCTGAAACCAATGTTTTAATATCATAGCTAGTAATAAACTTTCGCCAAATTCGTATTTTAATTTTATTTAAACAGCGCCATTGTGGCTAGAAGAGGAGTCAAAAGGACCTTTAAAGAAGAAACCAAAGATGGCGAAGATAAGGAAGAAAAAACCGAAAAGGATGGTGAAGATAAAAAATCCAGTGACGAAAAGGATAAATCTGAAGATGAAGAGGAAAAGAAAAGACGCAAGGCTTTCATAAAACTGCAATGCCCACAATGTGGTTTGAAAGCTTTGACGTTCAGACGGTACGAGCTTCATCTGCACGGACGCTCGCATTTGTTTGCCATGAGAAAAGTCGCTCTGAAACAGAAAGCCATATTGGGACAAATGAGACAGGCCCAGAGAAACAGTCAGAACGAGCTGGAGAAAACCAGCAGCGATTTGGGTAACAGAACTAATTTCTGTCCGCTGTGCAAGCTGAATTACAAACAAAAGAGAGCTGTTCATCAGCTTTCAGAGTCCCACCAGAACATGAAGAAGTTTTTGATGCCTTTCTGCAAGATATGCAATATTTCATTCGAGAGCCCCATGATCTATGAGAACCATTGCTGCTCCATTGATCATATTAAGGTAAGTCTTGTTCAATAATAGTCCTATTAAATATTAAGTTATATCTTACCTTATGGTGTCTTGTTTTTTCATACAGAATGGTATTGAAATACAGACAATGTTCATTATAAAGTAACAAGAGAGCTTAAAAGGACTTAAGTTGAATCTTTAGGAAAATAGGGTGTTTGGTGTGGTATATTTAAAAAAAAATGCTTCTTTTGAAATCAGTGCTGAAAAAAATAAAAATTACTCATTAATTTGAATATTCTATATAGACACAATGATTTTTAAATTTTCATCAGCCATTTTTCATAATGTAAAAATTTACTTGAGCGCTGACCACAGGATATGATGTCCCAAAAACGAATAACAATTTTAGCATTGTATTCAAAAAAATTTCAAATGCGTTTTTTCGGACCATTATGATACACTGATAATTTGTTTTAATTGCCATCTATTCTTAAGACATGCTACTTCTTTTCTTTGTAAAAAAAGTAATTGAATCTCAAATAATTTGTATAATAAACATAGAAAATCATTAACAAATAAAAATTAACCCAATTCTTTCATTATATCAAATCTAATTTATGTAGTCACATTTTTTATGTTCTTGATAAACTACACACTACAATAAAGAAAAGAACCTGTACTTGTAGAGTATTTTTTCCAACAGCACCATACATTAAAGCCATATCAGTCAGTTCAATTTTAAATTGTTTAGTATTTAGCAATTCCTATCAATTCAAAAGCATTTTTGTCAGAGTTTTGGAGTAGTTATTTTGTCGTATAAGTATTTTCAGATCTATTTTCTGCCCTTTCAGGCACACCTCTATTGGTTTTTGAATGTTAGCTTTATCGCGGAAAGAAGGGCAACGTAGGTTTGTTCAGGTTTCTTTAAAATTTGATGCAAACCTTCAGAAGTTTTTGCAGTATACCCGCACGAAATCTTAAACGTTTATTTAAAAAGTAGAGTGATATTTAGGGCAGTGGCTAATGAATATTTTCGCTCATGATTTTAAAAAGCACTTTTTTAATAGTGTTTCGGGCTGCAAAAAAAAATTTGAGTGTTGCAGGTTTAGTATGACAACTTCTGTGGCATATGCCTGAATTAAATTTCAAATTTATATTTTTGTACATTGTAGTAGAGCCTAAATATGAATGTTATCTTTCATAATATATTTCAGCAGTACCCTATAATTTTCTAAAGGCAAAATTTGTCTAATACCTGTGTATTAAAACACAATTACGCAATAGACTCTGTAGAGGTAAAACATTCAGATACAAAAAAAAATCTTTTTACATGATGCTTAACCATCTTTCGGGTCTGATTTCAACATGATCGATAACATACCCATAACTGATATAATTTTATAACACAATAGAGATTAAAAGATTTTTAATTCGTTTTTACAATATTTTTTTTTTTTATTTCGTTTAAAGCGTAAACAACGTATGGAAAGTAGCGATGGGTCTGGAGAGGAAGATAATCTGGAAAATTTCACTACTATTGATTCAGTTGGTGATGTTGATGGCGAAGAAGGTAAGTCTATAAACAATCAATATGCAAAACTTTTCAATTTAGATTCATTTGTAACATTTTGAAGATGAAATTTTTACTGTTCCGCAAAGTTAATGCATAAGTCTATTATTTAACAAAAATATCTTCATATTCTTGACTATTCATGTCCAGGTCTTCTGTGGTTGCTGCCTATCTGAAAATGCAGATTGTGCCACTTATTGTTATACAAAAACTTCTTGCTTCACATTCTTCCATGTTCAGTTCATATCGTTTTGACTAATAACATTTTTGCAATTTTATCCAAACATTTGTTTTGCAGGACAGCATAATTTAAAAAAATTAGAAGGTATGAAGTAACATTTATCAGCCAAGGGCATCCTTTTAATTTACTTTAAGACATATATGAAGTTTATGCCTTAATTTTGTGGAGGTGTAATAAAAATCTTGCTAAAAATGCCTCGTTAATTGGGCAAGGGGCTTTATATATTTTTTTATAAAGACCTCTAATCATACAAGGCTATAATAAAACCTCGTTTAATCCCGGACTGTATAAATTGCTTATCCGATTCATGGCGAGGTGACATACAATTCACTAAGCCTTGTGACACATGTCCTAGTGAATTTCTTGTTTTCATTTATTTCCTCTATATATGTTTGACAAGGTAGCTTATAAATTTAAATTATAACACTTCAGACCACACTCTTGTTGAATTCACCTAACATTTGTCATAACATTCTGTTTTCCAGAATACACTTAAGTCACCCATTTGTTTGACGTTTGTGAATAATACCCCTGGGATTAGAATGTGGGAAAATTGTAGTTTCAAGCAGTGTGAATGTTGTAAAAACATTAAAAAAATAATATTCTGGAATATCATAACTACTGACTAGTCACAACATTCACGAGTGTTCAGAACTGTTTTGAAATACCTCTCCTTTTCTTTTATCAAGAGAAAATGATTGAAGCAATTTTCCGAGTTCATTATCTGGAATAGAAAGGATTAAATTGTTAAGAGACAAAAAAATAGCTTTTGTCGTATTTTTCATTGCTCATATTATTTTCTCTTTATAAGAAAATCATTTGAATATTTTTTTAAAGCGTCCGAAACCGAAGAAAAGAAAGAAGAAGATGACAAAGAACCGGCCGTAAACGTGGGCATCGAAAAAATCCGAAAAATCGAAGCCTACTACTGCGATCTGTGCAAAATGTACCTACAAAGGGGAGACGAAGAGGAACTAAACAAAATCCTTTCACGGCATTGCAAGCAGCGAGTCCACATGCAGCGATACATTCGCTTGAAGGAAGCCGATGAGTTGGCCAAAAAGGAGGCTGCTAAGGAAGGCAAAGAAAAGAAAGACGGGACCGAGAGCGATAAAGATAAGCCATCAAAAACCGACGATGATGAAACTAAGGATGATAAGTTGTGGGCTGATGTAGATAAGGATTTGGGAGATATTTTGGCTGAAGCGGAATCGGGCAATAAGAGTTCAGATGAAGATGAGGATTCTCATGTGAATGGAGAGCGATATGATAGGTAAGGTTTTGACAAAGTTTTCCCTTAAATGATTAATTTTCACCCCTCTTATTTTATAAATTGTTCTATTATGTAGATATATCTTTTAAGGGCGTGTCGCCTTGTTACTTGGGCAAGGAGCTTTATATATACATATTTAAAGATTTCTAATCTAACAAGGCTATAGAAAAACCTCGTTTAATCCCGGACTGTAATAAATTGCTTATCCGATTCATGGCGAGGTGACAATATTAAACCTTGAAAATTTGTAATTCCTTCAGTGAAATTTTTTTTAGTCAATTTCTGTGAAATTTTTAGAAAATACCAATAATAACAAAACTTTGGGTGAAGATACCTTGTTTTTTGCATGCTTTCAAAAAGTATTCATTTGAATAATTTAAAAAAAAATATATGTGCCCCATTTTATATTAAATACATGAAAATTTGATGCATTTTGTTTTAATAAATATCTAGTAGTTTTAAATGGGAGTTTTTCTTAAATGTTTCTGTAGAGTGCTGCTTTATCATTACACAAATTTAAAGCTCTCAATATTCTCAAGATAACATAACATTGTGAAGTATCCCCAGTGGCACTTATAAATACAGTTTTATATTTGAAGATCCTCCCCCCAACATTTTTTTGTTTTTCGTGAGAGGTGGTAGATCAAGTTTGCTCTTAAATAAATTTATGGCCACCAAGATCACTTATCTTAAAAGTGGATTAATGTGATTTGTTTATAAAAATTAAATAATAGTATTAGGCTAAAAATGTATGCTCTTATGTTCATTTCTTTTTAATCCATTATTTTTTAAGTAAATGACGATTCCGTTTCTTATCCTTTTTCTACCGTTTCTTCAAGTTTTGTCCTTATAACAGTTGACATTTTCTTTTAGATTTAAATTGAGTGAGAAGAATGGCGAAGAGAAACTGATGGGCGAAGAGGAAGGAATACTAGATAACAAATTAGTTATAGAAGATAGTGTTGAGAAAAAGTAATGTCTATAATCATTTAAATTCCAATGTTTAACCATTAAGAAAAGGACGAAAAGTTCATTTATTTATGATTCATAATATTATTAGAAGTAAAAATTTATTTGTATATTTGTGTAGTCTTAGTTTTATTACAGAAGGCGTTATTGAGTTTTTGTTGTAGTGTCTTTATACTAATTATGACATGTGTAACAATGTGAAATAAATATTTAAAAAAATTATTCATTATTGAAGTAAAACCCTGATTCCTAGAACTGAAAATAACATATTACAAACAACTTCAGAATTGTATCAAATTGAAGAGTAATATCAATTTCATGAGACATACTATTTACAATATACAATTTATTTGTTTTGATTTCATGCTTATAATTTTTATTTTTCACACTTCTATCCAGAGCTGGGACGAATCCTCAAAAAATTGATTCAAATCACGGATCCTATGTCCTAATCCTTTTAGCAATATAAAAGAATTTGAATCCATTTTTTCGGATCACGAATACGAATCTCTTGTCAGCGTCATACTATGATATGCATGCTTCCGAATCTAATATCAACTATGTGTATTACCTACTATGACTTGCATACAAATGGTTGATATAAGATGTTGAAAAAAATAAACTTTCTTTTTTTCCTATAAATTGGAATCTACAAAAAATGTCTTGATTGGTCTTATAGCATCAAAATTTCGAGGTGCATCGATTATACCTACAAACAAAAACGTTAAACTGCACCAGACGAAGGAGGCAAGTGTTAAATTTTAGAATTTTTTTATGTTTGACATTTATTGCTAATTTGTGATTTCACAGAAGGTAGCAGAGCACCTAGGCAATTTTGAGTTTAAACCTATGCCATATTTTTATGCTACAGTTTTTTTGCAAAAATCAAGGTGCTCTGCTAGCTTCGAACGAATTCAGCAGAACACCTCAGAAGTTTTTTTCCAAAAATGACAATATTTTTAGGCTCTTAAAATATTATTTTTAAAAAATACAGGGTGCTTAGAATGAAGCCAACACTATTTTTTTTTAAATATTTTAACGAGTCCAAAAATAGCTCAAACATGTGACATAATAAGTAGATGTTTGAAAAAAAAAAAAACGAGGTGCTCTGCTAACTTTGTTCCAGCAAAGCAGCCTGTATTATTTAAAAAGCAATTTTTAGTAGTTTTAAAATATTTCAAGAGTCTAAAAATGCGGTGTGGTTGTTTTTAGAAAAAAGGCTTTAAAAAACAGAGGTGCTCTGCATTATTTATAAATAGTATTTTTTTTGTAAAGTTGTATAATATTTCAGGAGCCTAAAAATGCAGTGGTAGTTGTTTTTAGAAAAAAACGAGGTGCTCTGTTGGCTTCGTTCGAAGCTAGCAGAGAACCTTGATTTTTGTAAAAAAAAAAAAGAGCATAAAATTTTTGAATAAGGTATAAAAATATGGCATAGGTTTCAACTCAAAATTGTCTAGGTGCTCTTCTGTCTTCTTTGAAATAATTTATAGATTCTTACGTTTATCTTCTAAATATTAACAATCGGTCTTCAGTCTGTTTCAGTTTACACTTCGCTAAAGTCAAAGCGTGAGTAGATCGTTCGCGCCGGCATAAAAGGATCGAGACTAATATTGATGATTCGAATATGGATCCTTAAGAATTTCTTCGGCGAATCCGGATCACGGATACTTTTTTCTTGAGTATTCGAATTCCTCTGCTTCTATCTAGTTAGTCTTGTTTTTTTTTGTTTCATTTCTAAATATATTAGGATGGAAACTACTCTTATTGTAAAGGTATATATTTAAAATAAAACGTTAAAATTTTAAGTAGCCCAACCTCGTATATACCTTACAGGAAACCAAGGGCACACACAAAATATAGCACATGTGAAATTTAAAATGATAAAAAATCATATTGCCAAAATTTTAAACTATTTATAAAGGTTGTAAAATTATTACCAAAACTGTCCTAGCGCATAATTCCGTATAATGTGACGATTCAATCCTGTCTGGTGTTCCTCAAGGTTCAAATATTGGTCCTCTATTGTTTTCCTTATTTTTTTAATGATGTTACTGCTTTCTTAATAGTCGATGTCCAGTCTGATCTAAATAGGTTTGTTACCTGGTGTAAAAATAACGCTATAAATGTTTCTAAGTGCACCATACATTTTACAAGATCCCATAATACTCTTAACTGTTACCGCATTTTGACTTAGATAGTTCATAGAGGCATACTAGGTTCATGAATGACAAAAAGCATCACGCTTTAAAATGTTCTGTTATTTGGCAACCTACACACACCTGTCATATCAATAGAATAGCAAAATAAATTCGTAAAATAACTGCTCTTAAAACATCGATTCCATAAACTAGAATGCAGGAGAAAACAGGCTTTACTCCTATTCCTGGCAAAATTTATAGTGGTTCTATCAAGTGCAGGCCACTACTTGAAAGAGTTCCTACCCGACGGACTCGGCACACATCACTTTTAAACGTAAAAAGACAAAACCAGATAGATATACTATACTATTTAAAAATAATTATTTTGTGTAAGTACTAAATAAATAATCGAAAAAATTATTACAACTTTGTCACCTTGTACTTTTCATGGGGAAAAATATGTTCAGATCATGAAAGGTCACTTTAATAGTTACACCAGGGGTAGTATTCTCGAATCACGAATACCGACATTCGCATACGTGTTTTACAATGTGTCTCACTTTGTTGAACGTAAACCAAGTGAGACAAATCATAAATCTCGCATGCGAATCTATATTCGTGACTCGAGAATACTACCCCCAGTCTATGAGATGACACCACATTTAACACACTGCTGCCTAGATTAAATTGGAAACACAGATACGACACATTTTTTTACATTCAATGGGAGCAGCCTGTCACAACACCAACGGTTTATAGAGTACAAATCGTTTTATAGTGATGGTTTGTTAATGGGTTGGCACTAGGGAAGGGTAGAACAGTGATTTTTCAATAACAGCTGCTTCAGCTTAATAAAATACCTGTTCCTGTTCCAAAAATTTAAACCGTTTTTTGTTACGCGTCTGTTGCGACTTGCGAGTATGGAGTATTACACATACAGAAACACTGAAACTAAAACAGTTCCATGTTTCAAGTGTAGCAGTCGCAAAAAACGCAAATTTCAATTCCGTAGATATTTAGGAGGAACTAGGAACAACTTGATATTTGTTAGATAATTTAAACATCTATTTTTTTTTTTAATTTGGTGTTATCGGCGTCGACTACTACGGCCATTAGCCTCGTGTTCTGTGTAGGCTTTGTTACTGTTTTCCAGCGCCACTTTAGGAACATTAGAACCCAACAGTGAATGGTCGAGTAGGGAATCCTACCAAGGCATCAGAATTAATTTTAAATAATTAAATTAAATGAAAAAATCCCGGCCAACGGTGGTATTCGATCCTAAAATAAAAACCATATTCAATGAACAATAGTTATGTCTCGTACAATCTTATTTTAATTTTTGTTTTATTTCAAAAAAATAACAGGTCACAGATTCCATAATATTCATTATTTAATAGTAAATCTCAAGTTGTTCCAATATTACTGTATAGGTTAGTCTGCGACTGTCACAGTAATTATTATTAATCGAGTTATTAATAATGCCTAATAACAAGTTGTTCCAGTTCTAGGCAATTTGCGCTCTGCGACTATGACAGCAAGTAGCAACTTAAAATAATAAACTGAATCTTCGTCGGAACATGGTCAGACAACAACTGTTTCGTGATTCGATGCATACCTGTTCCAAGTAAAAATCTGTTTCAAAAATAACAAATACTGCTTCAGTGACACAACCCTAGTTGGCTCACAGTTTTGTTATCATTAGAAAATGATTTGCGGTTTCTAATAAGTCACTTGAGAACAGTACGAAAAGGTATCCAAGTACTAATCCCTGGGGAACGCCGCTTGTTGCTTCCTGCTTTCTCTTAAAATTGTTAAAACAGTTTTTCCAATCGTGTTGTCTATCAAACACGGTTACGTTTCCACACAAACGAAACAAAATTGAGGAAGGTTTTGAGAAAATAGTTAGCATTAAAAAAACAGTTTTATTTTGGGGGTTACTTAAAGTTAAAAAAGGAAATATATTACAGGCGGACAGATGTTGTAAATGCATGACAATAAAAACATTGAGACAAAAAAACAAAATAATAAATACCTTTGCCTAATATACAAAAAAAAATTGAATACTACTAAGTCTTATCTTTTTAAAATAGTAACATTCATATTACAATCTTAAAATTATTCAATGAAAGAATAGTCAAATTAAAAAAAAAGACGCTTCCGAAATTTTTTTAACAAATTATAGATAGAATATTATAAACATATGTTAAATATAAATATTTATTTCATTTTTTTATCAGTCAAAAATGACAAAACTGAAATTCTAATAAACAATTATTGCGAACCTGGCTACAAGAAGGGGACAGTTTCATTTTTGTTAAAATTTTGATTCTTATGAAAAAAATTAAGCTTAATCGATTAGTGTAAGAAACAGGCAGCTGTGATAATAAATGGCAAAAAACATTAAATTTTTTGGTCTCGTCTCTGTAACTGTTTGGTGCAAGAAGGATGCTAATCCGGAACTGTTCCTTGTATTACCACTAGAAAAATTAATGTTGTTTATTTTTCAAACAAAGATATATCACCAAAAAAAAAGTTATAAATAGGTCACTGTTTCATTAGAACGTTTTATTTTTGTCAAAACATGCGACTATTTTTCGTTTTTTCTTAGTTTCCAAAAGTTAACAAAAATGGAGCTGCCGTCTTCTTGCAGCAAGGTCCTCAATTACATAAATTTCCTTTATAAACTATAAACCAAGTGGGTATATTTCTTTTTAATTATTATTATAATACTAGCATTATTTAGTCAGTAGTATATAACGGTACTATTAAACATTGGAGGCGCCTTTCTTTAAAATTAACTTAATTTTAAACGTTCTACTTGAATACTTTCGTTTTATACATTGATTTTAGCCGTAAAAGAAAATATCAAGATTTTTCTGAAAAAAACTAAATTTGCCATAAAACAGTTATTCATAATAAGAATTATAAAAACAGCGTCATAATTATAGTATAAAAATAAAAAGAAGTCGTTTGTTCCTTTTCCTCCCCAGAGTTAAGTGTTATTTATCAATCTTAATGACATCTAATCACTTACAAAACAACATACTGCAATTATTATCCACAATGATTAAATATCCGTATTTAAAATGTAAAAAGTGGCGCAACAAAAATATATATTTTCATTTTTAATTAAAACGAAGTATCATAAATAGAATTTAAATAATTCTTATTATTTTCTAAATAGAAAGCAATTGTATAAAGTTCAGTCTTTTGTATCTTTCATGGCAAATTCAGATAAAAATTAAGAATAATATTTGCCCTTTGCATTCAAATACAGAAGTGGACATAATTGGTGGAACACCAAATATCTAGCTTTACTGTACAAATAACAAAAAAATCATCAAGATAGAATAAAGAGGAGATGCTATGAGGATGCTAAATTGTCCGCACCTTTGCATTACAGTTTTATGTCAAACTCGAGACAGTGTAACTAATCAGTTTTGGTGAGAATAAATGCCATTTTTTTTTTAAATAGCTTTATATAAATGATATAAAATCATTTTAATTTCATTAGTCATCAAATATAATATTGACTTCAAATAAATGGAAGTACGTCTCAAAGTCGCCATTTTCATTACATTTTTCCGTCACTTGAAGTGCATCCATTTGCCATATCACAAAAAAGTATGTCGTTTCGATTTTGTTTTATAGATGCCCTTTTTTGATATACATAATATTTTCTTATGACGTTATCATTATTCGAGACATGTCTAGGGATGTTGCGATATTACTGATATGACACGTATCCATACATTTGTTTTGATAACGGGTAATTCAGTACCTGATACTTTACCCATACTAGAACTTCTCCCGTTTCGATACTTTACTAGTTTTGACATTACAATACATACAAAAAATGTAGTGTAAGATCACTTGTAGTATTTGTTGTGTTTTAATGACTTACCTATGACCTTCCTTTTTTTTTGCTTGTTCTAATAACTGTCTGAGATATCCGTATTGATACTTTGGTTCCGATACTCTTTTCGATACTTTAGTGGTATTGCAACATCCCTATTTAAACAATATGGATTTTCATGAAGTAAAGGCTGAAACAATCAAGAATCCCTAATCATGTCATCACTGCTAGTATGTTAATGGCAACACCATTTTTTAATAATACCAATTAACAGATTACATTTTTTAGAGTATGGACGCCAAATTTTGGGATTTGTTACATAAAAATATTTTAGAGAGAAAATATCTTAGAAAACATTGCAATATAAAAAAAATTGTGGTGACCTGTCCAACCATTTTTGTTACTTGTCCAATAAAGCCAGTTCCGCCAATGTTGTCCAACCTAGTACAAGTTCTGGTAGGTTTCAAACAAACCCGATTTTATTAAATAGTCTATCATTCCTCTATATCTTTGGGTCTAAAGAAACAATATAAACACACTTGACCAGTTAAATATTATTCTTAATCGCAATTTTTTCAGCAACATCTAAATTTTCTTTTCAGCACAAGAAAATCGTCTACCGGATAAAACGCAAGTACGCAAATTCGCGTTATCTTTATTTCGAACCATCATTATTTCGTCATTCAAACTCACGAAAAACCAATTGAAAATTAAAATATACATAAATTTACACTAGCCTAAAAAACCCACAAGGCTGACAGGTGCGTCTTGAATCACTGTCTGTAACGATAGTTTTTGTGGAAATTTTTGTGATGAAACATGCGCCTGTGTCTGTTTCCGTTGTAAAATGGTTTGTAGTTTCCGTTGCCGTTGTTGTGATTCCAGTTCTTTGCATTGTGGTACTCCTGAAATAGAAAGAAATTAATTAACATTGGTTTTGATTCGATTCCACTGAATTACTAGAGCTACGTAAAACAAAGGTGTGGCTTACACAAAATAAAATGGTCTTAAATGAAATAAAAACGAACACGATACTATTCAACAATATACTTTTAAATTAACTGATAGCACACTTTTTAGGACTCATAGATGAACTCTTAAAATAGTCACAACATATCAGGGGAAGCTATTCTTTAAGGCCGCATGGCCGCGCACCCTTCCTAAGAAACACCAGAAAATAAATTCCTAATTAAAAATATTATTTATTTGTTTATTTTATAATTTTTCCTAGCTTCTTGACGCATGCTATGAGAGTTATTTATGTCCCCTCCAAAATACTTCCTAACAACAATTTATGAGATCTTTGATTGGACTATCGACAACTGCAGCAATATGTAGGTCCGCCATGGAAACGGAGTGGGACACGCGCTAACGAGTACGTCTTGCAGTCGGCTGTTTTAATGCAGATTCAGGCGCAATTATTTCGCGGCTGGCCAGTATTTATATGATAAGGCGTCAAGCGTCAGTTTTGTTTTTTTTTTTTAAAGTTGTTTTATAGTTTTCACAGAATGTTTACGGAACACCATGCTACATGATAGAAAATAGAAATTTAGTTCTGGTAATTTTGAATCTGTCCTAAGATATAGAATTATCTTTTGGGACAGAAACAGCTCTGTCGGAAAACTATTCCTAATAGAAAAAAGGGCAATGAGAATGGTATGAATCTTACAAGACTGTTTAAATCAAATAATATTTTAACTGTTTATGGTTTATATAGTGGGTTATCTGAGCCGTCCTGCAAAATAAAGATGATACTCCTAATTATATTTGGATGTGAGAGATATAGAGAGAGCAATTGGTTTAACCACGCCCTTTCGATTGCAATGCGCTAGTTCAGTGTGATGTCATTTTGGTTCCACTGACAACCAAACTTTTAACAAAAACATCATTAAGTTTGACATATACGTTTTTACTGTTTTTAGTTTACAGGTCATAAAAAATAGTTTAAAGGTATGTAATTGGTAACTAAACGATTGTATATTTGATGCATGTTATCTACTTACTTTAGGAATATATTTATAAAAGTGAAAAAACGATATAATTTAGGTAAACAAAACGCACTCAAAAAATCTACTGTCACTTTAATAGTCAGTGGAACCATAATTTCATCATCACTGAACTAGCGAATAATGGGATATTACATGTACGATGCGATCTGCATGTCGTCTATTTCTCTCTATTCAATAGGATTGTTTTTATATATACCGTTCTTCCGGAATCAGGATAGCAGATTTAACGTACTGTATATTTTCGAATGTCTAATGTATCTTGATAAAGACCAAGAAAATTTTGAAAATATTACAAATTCTCATAACTATCATACTAGAAAAAATCAACTAAATTATTCAAATCATAAATATAAAATCACTAAAAATGTCCATGCTGCATGGCAATAAAATATTACAACAAACTACAGGTAAGAATAAAAAACTGTTTCTTAAACAATAAATTTAAAAAGAAATTTAAGAACTAATTATTTAGATTCCAATTTAAATTAAAAATTGGTTTGTTTTTGACACCATTTTATTCTGTGCTGTTAGTATCTGTCAACTCTTTTTGAAATAAAGATTTTTTTAATTTAGTGTCATCAGCATCAACTGCTTAGGAGATATTTAAAGTTTGTCCACTCAGGCCAACGCTCACTACAAATATCGTGCTGTAGGGAATAAAACATTCTAAGGTACACAGGAGGGTATAATATCCGCTGTTGTCATGCATCTTTCATTATTCTCGTTTTATTTACTAAAATAATTCAACAAATTTTATTGCCACTGAACCCAAAAAATTTTTGAATCATTATATCAAATTTAACTAAATTAGATGTAATAATTTTCAATAAATTCCAAAACCTAGTTAATGTTAAGTTGGATATCAAGTATTTGGTACTAGATGTGGAACAGGGCTTGTACGGGCATGAATTTTGTACACTGTTTATTATAAGCGTACAACCGCTTACACATATATTCATTGATAAAATTGTTTTTTATCACAAAATCCTTCTGTGTATTCCCTCTTTTACCTCTCACCACATGTCTCTTCACTTCTCACCTCCAACTGGACGATATCGACTGTCGTGTCGTTGTCAGTCGCACCAATATTAAATTTTATCAATGAATAGCTATATCTCCTGTTATCTCTGTGCCTCCTAAAACATGTATTGAAGATACAAAATTTGAACACATTTTATTCGAAACCTTCTTCTTACCTTCTTTGTTAGCAAATCCAGTATAGCTATTTTACAAAGGGCGCAGTCAAAGATTTTTCGAAAAATAGTATTCAGATACAAACACACTAGTTCAAACATTGCTGCAAGAAACAGTAGAAGACTAAAGAGAAACTGGTCAATACAACTAAAATAAGGTGGGAAAGGTTTAAATAAATAAAAAATCTTTGGTGCCAACGAAAATAAAAATGGAAAGGGGAATTTTGATTTTTTTCCTCAAATGGTCCATTTTAAGAAAATCATGTGTACTAAAAACATTTATAGATGACATCACAAAAACTCGTATTCCAAATAATTATTTCTTCAATCATAAATAAAACAAATATATCTTAAATTAGAAAAACTAACCCCAGATGGTCTCATCAGGTGCTCCGACTGCCCAAAATCTAATCATATCATTGCAGGATGGATTAAAGCTTAATTTTAAAATTTGATGTTTTCTGTTCAAAAATTACTAAATTGTACACTCATACACTATTTCAGGTAGACTGTGATGATGGCTTTGTAAAAATAGTACCCGATGTAGTTTTCGCAGTTTGCCAAATTTTAAATGTGTCACTATCATGTGTTTATTATTATTATTTATGTATTAGTATACTTTTATTCATGTAATAAAACCGTTGGCTTGTTTGGATCTAAATAAATATCATAAATATTAATTATTAACAATCAAAAAATATATATTAAGTTTAATGTTAAAAAATGTACCTACTTGAATCGGATTATATCCTGGATTCAGTTTAAAATTCGGAACAAGCTTTATGTGTTTGACACGTCCTTGATCCGAACTGTCGGCGAGTCCTCTTTTTCTATCCTCGCGCCTTTCGTTCTGCACCTCCTTTTCCAACTGAGACTTTGACCCGTTCCACGTTGACACAGGTGCCGAATAACCGGTGTGCGACATTTTGAAAAGTTCATTTACCACCTAAAAAAAAATTGTTAAAGTGATACAAAAGGGATAAGATCGTTAAAATATTTCACATAAGGTCATCGACCCTGAATACCCGAGGCCACAGTCTCCATGCATATCTCTATATTGTAGAATTGATTTGACTTCTGGTATCTTGAACTGTTTTTTATTCTATGTAGAATAATTGAATAAAGACACTTTTAATCCAGCATTCAATCAAGATTTTATAATAAACTGAAATTGGGGTCTATTCTGTAACAATTCCTTTATCCGTTAAAATATTGGCGGCCTTTAAAAATATTTTCGTATTCGCTAATTTACTTCTGCCATTATTTAAACGGATTTCTTTTCCTCTAAGGTATTTTAAAGGAATCCGTTTAAATAATGACAGAAGTAATTTAGTAAATACGAAAATATTTTTAAAGGCCTCCAATATTTTAACGGATAAAGGAATTGTTACAGAATAGACCCCTATAAGTGCTAAAAATACAAAAATAATTTTAGATTCTAATATTATTAAGGATTTTATAAAAATGTATGCAGAGCAGTGCATAGTTATCTCGAGCATAACTCATATCTCTGTCTTTGATGGTCATCTACTATAGAAACATCATTTGTTACATGTAAAGAAAAATAATTAAATATTAATCAAAAGCAAAATCAACTCACCTTATTATTATTACTGTTACTACCACCATTCTGGCTACTAGCACCACCATTCTCTTTAGCCTTTTTAGACCAAATATCGCTCTTTGAAGGCAACTCTTGCTCTACATCAGTCGACGACGTTACTTGCCACTCCCCAACGGCGGCCTTGGTCGACACCCTCGAGCCCAATTCGCTCGCCGAATGGTTCGAGTCGTCGGACGAACTCGTATCGTCCGATTCGTATGGAACCAGAGGTTTCGTTAAAGGCGAACCTGATTCGACGGTCTTCTTCGATGTCGACACGGGACTAGGTGATGTGTCTGAGGAAAATAAATGCTTCTAAAAAAAATAATAATGCATAGAGTTTACGAGATGTATAATAAAATAAGTTTCCCTTCGCTCTGAATCGCCATTTTGAATTAATACTTGAAAAAATACATCCAAGAAGACCAAGAGGAAGGATGAGTGACCAAAAGTAAAATTAAGTCATTAGAAGAAACCCTACATTGTAAAAGAAAATAATTATTTCCAATTCAAATTAAAAGAAAACAAAATGTATAATTTAGAAGAACAGTTCTTACCTTTCTTAGGTGTTACGTCGGGACTTGAGAGACTCGAAATGCTGGTGGATACATTAGGAGAGGAGGGAGGGGACATTCTCTTTTGCAACGCCGGAGGTTTAGCAGGTTCATCACAAGTGGAACTAATATCATCGTCTTTTACAGCTAAGCTGCTTTTATTATTACTATTATCACTAAGAGATGATGCGATAATTACATCGCCATCAGAATCTTGCTCGCTAGAACTGCTAGACGTGGTATCTGATTCACCTGCAATTAAATGAACAAATTAAATATGTGACGTAATAGGACGAGGTAGAATGGATATAGATAAATTGGTTAAACACATAAGTCACTGCTGACACTGTAATAAAAAAACATCAAGAGAATGAAGCAAACAAAATAGTAAACTGACTCCAACTAAATTCAGACCTAAAAGGAAGTAACGGTGAACAGTACAACAGTGAGTAACTACTAACCTGGGACTCATCCCAGGGGGAGACCCAGGAAAAAAACTCCACAAGAAAACATGGGGAAAGTAGTGTAAATTAGGAGAATAAATTCTTAACCATAGGATCACGGTAATAGAGTTGAAGACGAAGAAAATGTCTGCCCAAAAGAACACTAGTAGCAACAAAGTGTAATGAAAAAAAAATAACAGGAATGTTTTTATATTAAGCAGAGTGGTTTATGAAAGTAAAGTTAAAACTGACAACAAAAGTCAAAAACAAGTATTCAGAGCATATTATTAGGGTAGAGTCCATATATAAGAATTCTTTATGGTTATAAATCGGAATTTACTTAACAAAAAGCTCTAAAACGCACAAAAGTCTTTCAAAATTGCATTAAGGAAGTATATTTGGGCTTATTGTAAAAACGTGACAAGCCATACTTTTTCAAATTAATATTTTACTCTACGACAATAAGTAATAAGGTTACAATCCACATACCAAATGGAAATTCTACAAATGCTATCACTAGCCAAGTTATTGCATTTAAACAAAGTTGTAGTAGTTTTAGAAATTTATTTGAACCTTTGAAATGTGTTTTGGGTTCTCACGTTTTTCCAATATTGGATTTGTAGTACTGAATGTTGTTAAATTCCTTCTTGAACTTGCTCGGCCATTGTTGAATTTAATTTAAAATCTGATTTTTAATTTTACAATGTGGGGATTGCAATAAGCGTTTGCAGTCTAAATGAGTTATTATCAGTTTAATATATTTTTCTGGTTGCAACTATTGTAATTGAAGGTGATTTCCAGGAAAGTATGTAATTTATTTTGCAGTATGGAAACAAGTAAGCATAGAGTCATTCATTCTAAACATGCATGCTCGCAAACATCATCCCAGCTCAATTTAGTTGGGCATCTCCCTCTTTTTAATACATCAGCTGAGGCGACAGCTCTATATGTTTGACATAAAAAATGAACTCAATACTTATAAGTAAACAAGTGCTTACTTATAAATGAAAAGATTAGTCTAGTAGTTGTTCATCATGTACATCTTATTCTGTTAAAGAATTTGAAATGTAATTATGCAAACTTTGTTTTTCTTTGTAATCTACAACTTGTATAATATTTAAGAAGGAAGTGTAGAATTTTAAAATACATGAGAATATTTTCTTTGTGGATATGCACTGCGTGAAAGGTATCTTGACTAGTTTGATAGATTTTTACTATGTAAAAAATGTAAAATGCTTTATTAATAAATAAATAATATTCTATACAATTTAACTATAAACCAATTTTAAAACCTATAAGTCTAAAACCCAAACACTGTCCAAAGGTTAGTAAATTCTTACCTTTGCCATTACTACTAGTAACAAACCCGTTACAGGTACCATCCAATCTACCTGGAGGCAGTTCGGGACCATAAACTTTATCACTGGTGAATCCCACACCGTTCGAGAAGGATTTAGAGGCACTTGTTGAAGAGCTCGACGAATTTGTGTTCGACGAACAAGCACTCGAAGTAGCTTCGGTAGGCGTCGATGTTTTGAGTTTACTACCGGCTGTTGAGGGCTTGGCATTTTGAGAATACGGCGACGATTCTAACTCATAGAGCATTATGTAGGCGTTTGTGTTGAACACAGCTTGGTGTGAGATTGGTCTTACCTGAAAGAGAAATACTGTGATATAATAATACCCCTTAACCACTGAAAATGTCAATGAGCTTTAGTCTTCATTAAAGATATCATTATTTTGATGCGATGTAAAAAATGAGCCAAACAAAGTTGAGGAGTGCACCACTTCTGTTCAATAAATGTTATTATGTGGTTAAGACTTTTTAATAATATTTCCTAAAGTAAATAGGTAACATTAGTTAAATAACAAATTATTATTATTATTAATCACTTAGGTTATAGATTAGGTGTTGATCTCGTCCTGCATAGAAGAGGAATCAGTTTTTTATTTTTCTAAAATGACTTAGCCAATGGAAAGTAAAACACGCTGGTTTAAAAAACACAATAACAGATTTTATTCACTGACTTAGAATATTAAAATTGGAACTTGTGTGTGATTCGGTTTTCCTTGGCTGCACATACCGAGTCCATTCACTAGAAATTTGGACCATTGGAAATTGGAAATACACAACTTTACTTTTTCATTTAATTTGAGATAACTGGTCATAAAATTATGGTTAAAAAATAAGACATGACGTTTAAAACCTTTGGATTTCGCGTCAGTTCTGCTTAACGCCATTGGTTAGACCTTGCAACTGCCTTTTTAAAAGGAACTTGTTCAAACTATTGCATGTGAGGGAGATGTGTTATTAGGGAGATAAAATAGAAAACTATTGTTTTCTATGACACTTCTAATAGTATGATATATGTAAATATGTTTTTAATTAGTATTGTACATTGACCTTACAGCTTTGCTGTTACGAACTTTCATTGCATTTTAAAAGGTGGATTTACACTGTAGTGCAAAATTAATTACTTGGAGCAAGCGGTTCATGATGAATGGGACTAAATCCCTCAGGAAGAATTTTCTGTCTTAATCCGAAGTATGCCTGGTCAAATGAGAGCCGTGATTAGGGCAATACACCATACACCCTGTTAAATATCGTTTTTTATTCAAAAATGTTTAATATTAAAAAAATAATTTTTGGTATTTTTATGTTTTCTTTATTAAATTCTTGATTTGTTGTATATTTTCCTTTTAAATTTTGTTTATTATTAAACATTTCATTAGGAACATCTCAAAAATTTTTAAATCATAGTTTTTAGGAAAAATATGAAGGTCCAATTAATTTTGCACTCCAGTAAATTGGGAAAGTTTAAGTTATTGGTATGTGACAGGGCCAGCTTCTGTTTGGTGTCTTAATGAAACTGAAGCTTTATTTAAAAAGATGTCAACTTACATTTTATTTCCATTATTTTCATTATTGTGTACATCTAAAAGCATACCACAGAAATAATTAAAGTAAAAATAATTTAGTTACATATCTTACCTACTCTTTGATGACCTACAAACAACAAATTAAAAAAAAAAACTCAAACATTTATGTCAAAAGTCCATGACAGAATATTTTTTTGTTTGTTTGACTCACGTTAAACTACCTACAATAATTATGGAAATATATTAACCTGATTAAGTATGTTTCATAGCATAGAATAATCCAAATATGTTATTTATTAATTTAAAATAATAAACTTACCATACTATCATCAAATTGATAAAAATTCCCTGAAGGCGCTTGCGCCACCGCCGTGTAGTGTCCACAACTGACGGTGGGTCCCATGTGGGTGACGAGCGCCACCAAACGGTAGATAAGGGGCACGTTCGGACGATGCCGAGCGTATTTTGTCAAATCCAGTCTTTGTCTGAAGTTAATGTGCTTTGTGATTTTGTTATTGCTAACCGAGAACCTCTTCAATTGGATGCACAGAACCATCGGCGCCCGTTCTAGAGAGAACTGTTTCGTAGCAGGTACCTAAAAAAAAATTATTAATCCAAAAAAATAGTAAAAATAGGCCAAATTAACTTAAATTAAATGCAATAGATTTGATAATAATATTGGCGTGGTCTGGGAATTAAGTATTTGAATATTTCTAGTAACTGTATAGAATTTCCTCCAATTGTTTAATAATTACTTATCAGCATACATTTTGTTTTATTTGTGATTTTTTAACAATTGATTATTTTATTAACAACTCTTGCCAATCTGAATCCTCACAAAAAAAATATATGGGCTTCATCAGAAAACAGGTGAATATCATATTGACCTGTGACATCAACATCATTGATATAAACTAAAAATAACAGGGATACCTAAAATACTTGCCTGTGGAACACCCTTGCCAACGTCAGATAGTTTTTATCAAATTTATATTTTCAATCATATAAAACACACTGAATAGCTGATTCACAGTTTTATGCTTGCTTTTGAAACCCGAATGTATTCTAGTATTAAGTTTATTATCTTCTAAAAAAATTACATTATTTATTTTTTTATACAACTAATAGGCCATAAATATGTACTTTTATTTTTTTTTGTCCTAGGAACAGGCACTACTGTAGCTATTTTGAAAACATTAGGTGTTTTTGAAATTTCTAAGGATGAATTTATCAAATTTAAAAGTGGTTTTCGGAGGTTGGAAAAACATTTTTTTAAATATTAATGTTAATTTCATCTGTGCTTCTAAATGTTTTGCAGTAAAAGAGGTAGCATATATAAGGATGTTTAGTTCTCTGTCATTAAATCCCATCTAAGATATGGAATATGTTGTTGGTGTTCATGCTATCAGAAACAGTTTCTTAGAATATTTGTCCTACAAAAAAGAGCTTTCAGATTTACCTGTAAAGTTAGTGTGGAGAACCCCTGTAAGCCTTTGTTTCTGCAATATAATATCTTAACTTTGGTTTATATTTATTAATTAGAAATAGCATGTTCGATGTATCCTTTGAACATATTGTATCCCACTCACATTCACATGTAAGTTATTAAAAAATCCATAGTGAATAACAATATTCAGACAAAGACTAAAGTAACTGCTATTAGAAAAAACATACTACACATTTTAAGGGTTATTTCAAGATTCATCTAATTAAGTTGTATGCATTTTATCTAATTATACCTAGGTAAATGTTCGTTTTATATTTTACATTTACTTTCTATGACTGTAAACATTTGTCCAAAATAATAAAAAAAAGAAGCTAGCATTTCAACAACTGTGGATTCATAGACTAACCTCACAATTTCAAATAAAAAATCCAACCATTTATACAGTATAATTATATTCGTTTTTATATGTAAACATTTTTTTCTGTATTTTTTAATTTTAAATATTTTTATTCGACAATAAAGCATTTTAAATCGAATCAACTTACCTTTTTCTGACAAGATTCACACTGATAAGACTCGTCATCCAACTTCTCCCTTGAAAAGTACGATTCCAAAGCTTCGTCGACCGTCTGAGCCTTCCGAATATCCAACAACAAATCCTGAAAATGCTGAAATGTGGTACTGACATGTCCACACTTCAGACACCTAACGGCCGATCGCAAATAACCTCCCAAAATCTGATTCAGCGGCGTCGTTTCTTTCGTCTTTGAATCGAAATCGGAGCAATTTTTGAACCGGCTCAAATAGGCTTTTTCCATGGCTTCGACCAGATACCTGAGGAATTCGTGAGCATCTTCTTGTCGACCTGGAATCAGGTTTCTGCAGACCAAACGCAACTTGTTGTAGATTAGTAAAGGACGGATTGAATTGGCGTTGCGCTGTTGGGAATCTTGAAGTGTTTTTCGCATCGCGCAAATTATACAGAGACCTCCTGAAAAGGTCAAAACATTATCCTGGGTATTTTACTAACTTAACATTTCTACATACTATAACATTTCTAAAGACAATGCTGGAGCAAGTAAGAGAGCTGCCATTAGTATTCAATATGTCTTAGAGAGCATTCAGGCCTTAGATGAGGTAAAATAACGTCCTTATACTAAAGAGGAATTTTAATTTATTTGTTTAAACCATTTACAAAATATATTACTTATAAGTGTATAAAAAAAAATATGAAAATAACACACATTTTTACTTCTTCATAGCTCTTCTCACCTGATAAAGGGAAAAGTTAAAAATATTAATATTTTGTTTCGTTTTGCCACAAATGTATTAGCACTTCTCAGAAGTCTAGGTGGGATATATAGATCTTTCTTTTTCAAAACAAGAGTTCAGGAGGATCAACAAGGCCAGTTACCAGTTTAAAGATAAATAGAAAATCAATAAATTATCTTCAGGAAGCTATCGTTTCATTATTTGTTGTTATAATTTAAAAGAACAATACATTTCTTACCATTGGTAAAATAAGTCACATGATTATCCTAGGGTGTTGACACCAACTAGTCCATTAATTTATTCTAAACTTATTTATTTCTTGAAAGTGCTAATCTATTTTTAAATATGATGCGATGTCACATCTTCACTTTTTCAGATTAATATTTTTATGATTACACATGGTTTATTATACATTTTTTGTTAGATATATATACAATAGTGTTTATTGCATATAAGTATAACATAAGTATCAATGGTCCAAATGCATTAACCCTTTAAGTACGAACGTCACCTATAAAGTTGCAAGTCACTTAAAATAGCCGAACATGGTGTATAAGCAACAAAGGTAAAAAAATAATCAGAATACTCTATAAATTCATATGAAAATATGTTATTTTCTAAGCATGTACTATGTCCGAATGTAGCTTGTGATCGACATTCCTAAGCAAATCATATAGCTTATGTCACTTAAAGCGATCCAAGTTTGAACCTAGGGAAAAACTTTGGTAAAAACTGATAAAAGGTGGCAACGCAGCATGGCAACTGACCAGGTACTTTACATGACCAAGCAAACAGGCATAAATCATGGTAGTGTTGATTTCGCTAGGCAACACCACAAAACATACAAATTATTTTAAAATAGGAGTCGTGTATAAGAGACAATACACATACAGATGTTATTATAAAAAAATTATTCTGGCAAACACACTTGCTTAGAAAAAAAAATCCGTCTTTAGACGATTAAATAAATACTTATTTTGCAATTTTTAAAAACTATGTACCTAACATGTTTTCTTTTCAAACAAAAAATATATTAACATAAATAATTTGGATGGGATTTATATAGAAGGCTCAGCACATTCTTTAATTCTAATGGTTATTAAATAAACTCAACTAATCAATCTATATTTATAGAATTTTTATTTAGTCTGTTTAAAAAATAACTATTAATAATTATAATTATATATCACAAATAAAACTATTTTTAACTTTCAGACATTTTGTTTCCCAAGATCTGATAATTGTTACTCAACCTGGCAACATGGTAAACGAGTTTTACTGATCATGTGAATTAAAGTAATTTTAACAAGAGTTAGTTAAAACACACAGTTTATTTGTTCATGAGTAAAAATATTAATATATCTGCAGATGATAAAAACATTTACATACATTAGTACTATCAAATTTTATGGAGACAAAAACAACAGCTTAATAACTGAATTCATTTTCCAATTGGCAACACTGTCAAGTTTGACAAATGTCAGAAAATCGGCGGCAAATTTAAACTTGAGAAACAATTATAATTTAATTATTTTTTAACACTGGGGAAAAGATAATGTAAAAAATTATTGACAAAACTAAATCAAATTAGCACAGCACTAAAAATTAAAGGTCAATGACCCAATATTGTAGTTAACAGCATTTTCTAAATAAATATGATTTATGTGGAACTTTAGATATAAAAATTTACATACATTTATTACACAAAAAATGTTTGGATATGTACATTTTGATTAATAATTAAAAAGAGATGTGTAAAGAGAATACTTCTGTATAAATAAAAATGTATAATTAACAATATGTATGGAAAAATTAACAAACCTGAATCTTGGCAGATGGCAGTATGATCTTTGTCAGACATTAGCCAATTTACTAAAGCTGGTACATGAAAGAGAGCTTGTAAAGTGGAATTTAAATAACAAGTATTCCCCATGTTGACCATACCAGCACCTACAGACCAATCACAGTTATTCCAACCAAGTTGAACAGCACTTAAAGGAAACAATTCGTATTTAGCTAGTTTTAGGGATTCATCTGTGCTCATTTCCTCCTCAGGTTTACTGTAAATAAAGATTATCAGCATATTGATCTATGGGTTGTCATTACAAAAGATTGAATTTATGAAACATGCTTATTTGAAAACATTCTAACCAAACTTTATTTCGAAAAAAAAGACCCGAAAATTTACCTTGGTGGGGGTGTTTCGGGGCTCCTTAGGACTATATATTTAGATTTCAGTCTATCAAGGACAGCATTTTGGTAGCTACCAGCAGACTCGAATTCGATATTCGACAATAATGCTTTTTTGGTAGAACCCGCTAACTGTGTATCCAAAGAATTTTCGCTCGACTCATTTTTCGATAATGCTGTTCGGAGGGCATTATTGACGGGGTCCAAGGTAGATGCCGGCATCTCTGTTGGAAATCACACGTGTAAAATAACCAGAAACACCGCGTTATCCGATAACTACAGTTGTTGCGAAATTATGTTAATTCCTTTTCTTCTCAATTAACAGCATATTCGTTGTGAATATGCCTCCGATGTGACATCACAAACCAAAAGGTCTTCTTCTCTAGTTTAGGAATATTTATTTAGAACCAGTTATTTTGGAAAACACCAACAAAAACTCTTTCAACCTTTCACAAGTGCCATTGGCAGTATTGAACTCACGTGCGCATGTCTACGCGCCCCAATTGTTGTCGAATATAAACGAAAACAACCGATTACTTCTTTAAATGTCAAATCGGAGTGCGTTCCAAACTTACAGATCAGTGGTTCACAAAATATCACAATCGCAGGGTGAGCAGTTTTCGATAGGTTCTGGTTTCTCCAAACCTTTTCAAGACAGAGTGGAACAGTTGAATGTTCTGTGCAGTTGAATACCATATACTATTCATCACGTACAATATAAACTTTCCACGGATCAACTATGATCTCGCAAATTGCAAACCCAACACATCACCGTACAAATCATGCACTAATAACAGTGAAACTATCCAAAATCAAAATATTAAGGTCATGTAGTTGGGTTTCATCTCGACAATAGTGAAATTATTAAAAAAAGACCAAGACGTAAAATAAATATAAACAAGAATTTTTACATTAACAATGTCATTTTAGTCTCCGTTTAATACAACGGTGGAATCGGTCCTAAGCCCTGCGACACAATATATTACGAGCGACCGTTTCCCTCCGGAAAACAACTGCTCCTTTGGTCAATACCGCTACAGGCAATAAATTATAATTAAAAAAAAACAGAAGAGGTATAAGATTATTCGTCATCCAGCAAGCAAAATCAGAATTAGTTTGTTGGAAATAGTTTTATTTCTGCTGTTTTTCTATAGATATCATTCATTAACTTTCGAGGTATTCGCCAAAGGAGTAATTGTTTTCCGGAGGGAAACGGTCGCTTGTATTATTTGGTGACACGTAACAGAGAAATTTTTGTTTTTGATTTTATTAGGGTCAATTCCACCGTTGTGTTAAACGCAGATTAGAATGACATTAATTGTGAATGTAAAAATATCACACAACGGTGTAATCTTGTGGTGTAATCGGTCCTTAGATAGTGTAACATATATGTGCTGCGTTTGAGAATCCACATCGGATGCATTTGAGATGTAAAAAATCTTTGATCACGTGTTTCAGTATACGTAAATGTAATGGGACAGATGTGTCCGATGTGGATAAAAAAACGCTCGAGATGTAAAAAATGCATCCGATGTGGATTCTTGTGCTGCGTTTGAGAATCCACATCGGATGCATTTTTTACATCTCGAGCGTTTTTTTATCCACATCGGACACATCTGTCCCATTACATTTACGTATACTGAACCACGTGATCAAAGATTTTTTACATCTCAGATGCATCCGATGTGGATTCTCAAACGCAGCATTAAACGCAGCAATGCTCGAAGAGTGTAACATAGAGATAATGTAATTTGCAGAGGTGACGCTGGCTTAATAATATTAATAATGGAGTTAGTGTATCTCAAAAACGCTCGAGATGTAAAAAATGCATCCGATGTGGATTCTTGTGCTGCGTTTGAGAATCCACATCGGATGCATTTTTTACATCTCGAGCGTTTTTTTATCCACATCGGACACATCTGTCCCATTACATTTACGTATACTGAACCACGTGATCAAAGATTTTTTACATCTCAGATGCATCCGATGTGGATTCTCAAACGCAGCATTAAACGCAGCAATGCTCGAAGAGTGTAACATAGAGATAATGTAATTTGCAGAGGTGACGCTGGCTTAATAATATTAATAATGGAGTTAGTGTATCTCACACGTTAGGTCTGTTCTGGTTTTGAGAAATAACGATCCACAACTGTCGGGCTCATGCGCAGTAGATAAAAAGTGTTCTGGTTTTTCTGGGACTACTTCGGATCTCTCAGTCCAGTGTTCTGGTTTCGTATCCGAAATAATCCGTGATTGTTGTAAACAGTCAAAAAGTGTTCATGCTTGGGAGTGTGGATCGACTCGGACTGTTTTGACCGCGCATGCGTTTTTGAAGTGTTATGAATATTGTATTGGCTTTTTAGACCATACGAAACGTATACAATCCCAAATTGTTTATTTATATGTGGACGAATGTCTCTTGTTCTTGTTTTATTTGTAAATTAAAGCAATTTTAGAATTATTAATTTTTTAATATTCTGTTTTTATTTATTCCATTGAAATGTGATGATAATGATAAACATATACATGCAAATGTTATTTGAAGCTGAGCTTTCAAAAGGAACTTCATTATTATAATAAACAATAAACAAAACACCTTTATGACGTGTTCTGGTTTTCCAAGAATTTCAAACAGTCGGGGATTTTTTGCCTTTACGCATACGGTCCGGCGCAGTTTCAAAACAGTTTTCATTTTGAGAACCAGAACAAACCTGTTGTAACAATAATAATTATCGTAATCCATGCGATTCTTTTCAATGTCATTTATTGGTTGCTAAACTTCACTCCTATTTTTGAACAAAAAGAACAAACTTGTTGAAGGTTGAATAGTTAATTGTGTACCAATGCCGTAAAGTAATCTTTTTTGGCCGAATCAGAATTTTTTTGAGGCGTAGCCGAGGACAAGTAACTTCTGGTTTGGTCAAAAAAAGATCATGCGGCCGAGATGCGCACCCTACTTTTTTTAGGAGTCTGTCTCCTCGAGTAGATCCAACATTTTTTACATCTTTGTTCCTAAGAAGAGACTTAAATGCAAAAGAATAGTTTCAAATTTTATTGATCGAAAAAGACTATTGTTGAGTAGTAAAATATGATGATAAACTCGTGTTCATAAAAAGTAGCCGTAAAGTAAATGCGGGCGTGTAGTAAATGAGGGCGTAAAGTGCATGCGGGAGTAAAGTAAATGTGACCGTAAATGCGGCCAAAAAAAGACACAATTTTTGTAACCACTGATTGGCTTGTGATACGGATAATCTAATTGGTTACTAGATAAAGCAGGTTGGGTGAGATTACAGAACGTCTGCAACTTTGCAGATCTGCAAATATGGCGGCAACTTTGAAAATCTGCAAATATGACTGACTTACACATGCGAGTGTCAAGTTTTCGTATTCTAAATTTGGGTTTAGTGTTGTTGGGAGTAATAAACCACAATAAATATTGCGAATTTGCAGATATTTTTTAGAATACTTGCATTTGTAAGTCCGCCATATTTGCAGATCTGCAACGTTCTGTAATCTCACCCTAAGCAGAGACAATCCAGCGAGACGTGTAACTCAATGTATTTTTTTTGTTCGGTAAAACTTATTTGGGCGATTGTAACCACAACCAGTCTATGATGGCGCCACTAGTAAATAGCGGGAAAATTAAAAATGCTTTAGGGCGGGAAATTCAAACATGGATTCAGAAATCATTTTTGTATACAACAAATTTACAAGAGAAACAAAAACTATTGTTTCACTGTTTATTAAAAAATATAAAAGCTTCCAATACCATCAAATTTTTTATCATATAAATAATCATTTTAATAAAGGAAGTTTTAATCAGTTTAATAAGCAGTGAACATAGTTTTTATTACTCTTGTAAATTTCGTTAAAAAAACTTGAAAATTCTATTGATTATTAAATATTTAAACTTGGAAAAATAATACACCAAACTCTTTTTCTATAAATTATATTTTTTAAGGTACAGAAAAACAAACTACAATTGCTATGTTTAGAAATTACCTCCTATGATTTTGTGACAAATTACAAAGAAAATAACAGTTGTTATACATTGTTATATATTCATAATATATTTAAAAACTAATGTAACAAATATTTTATAAAGTATAGAGTATATCGATATCTTTTTGCCAGACTATCATAAGTGCCATTTGAACAAATGTCGCTTATGTTAGTCTGGCAAAAAGGTATGGATATGTTATGACTGTTTATTTTAATAGAAACCATGGAAATGAAACAAACACACATACACTCAACACAAATGTATAAGGCCTGAGTCGAGTCCCCATCCTGTAAACTGGATCGAAACCTGCTAGACCCATTCCGTACACCACCTGCTAACTCTTCTTAAGGTAATCAAGATCAATAGATTTATGTCATGCCTTCTAAAAGGGAATGAAGGATGACATACTATCATTTAAACAGGACGTTGCTGAAGGCTTACCCCTGTTATTTTGTTTGTTTGTGTATCTTGTGTGTGTGCATTCCTGTTGTGTCCCCAGTCATGTAAAAGTTTTCCTAGTCTCCTAATTTGGTTACTAGGTGGACCTTCTCCAACTAGTAGTCTAATCTATTCGATCTGTTCTGCAGCAGGAGGTACTTTTCAAACATAGCAAATATTATTAATAATAAACACTATTTAAAGATAAATACATTTTTGTAATTTTTTTGTCATTGCCCCTTACCTTTCTCTTACACAAATAGCTATTTTCCATATTCCCTTAATTATAGATTACCTTACAATGTTCGAATGAATATAACATTTTACTCATGAAAAATCTAATTTCATATTTAACTCTTTTTCAATTTCATTTGAAACAATAATTGGTACCTATATTACAATTTAGTATCAAAGAAAATTTCTAATAAAGTTATAGCAAATCCTACTTAAACTACTGGTTGTTCTGCAGGATAAATTAATTTTTCTTGAGATTGATCTCTCTATAAAATCCAAAACCGACCTGATGTCCCCAAATTTATTTTCCAATGCATCCTGATTTAAAATTCTGCCCTTTTGTGATTCAATTTGTTTTCTTCCTTTAGAGTGGCTGTTAGAGGTAGGTGTATGTAAGAAATAACTAATCTCTAATCATTTCAAAAGTCCTTTGCCAATACTACATGTGCAGATTTTTTACTCAGCATACATTTTACTTTTCTAGTAGATAGGAACTTTGTGCTGCCATTAAAGCTGTCCAGACATTCATCTACCTACTTAATGAACACAAGTAGCTGTAACAATGGATCTCTGTTCCAATTAACCTAAAATAATTAAAGTCATTGTGTAATATATTATTAAACACACACATTATACACATATACATAATAAATTGGAAATTACTTACCTCTAGAAAGAAATGTGTACAAAAACGCGAGTTTGGTTCCAGAAATTGCTTCATGCAAAAAATAATATGCAAAAATAAACATTCCCCCTCAAAGAAAATTAATTAAACAACAAAATCAGACTAAAAGAAATATACGGGGCCCAAATTAAATTAATTTTAATAAAATGCACATGTTCATAACAACATTCATAACATTGTCAGTATGTCAGTTTTAAATACTTTTAATCGATATTTCGACGTCAAAAAACCAGCAACACCAGCGCCCTCTGAAAATGGTGTTAGTTTTATTGGAGAGAGATAGACATATGTAAAGATCAATGTAAAAGAAAAAGAGGGTCATATATGTAATTTAAATGGACCACCGAACATATTTTCCTATTAAGTTACACGTCTCTGTTGTCTCCACAGACCATACCCTTTAAAGATGGGCCACTCAACAGTGAAAAATTTTACTCATCTTTCAGCGCCATCCGTAGCGGTTGCAAATAGTTGAGTTAAAAAAAAAGAAGATAACTAATAATTGAAAATTTGTTCAAGATTTATTTTATAGATGGCGGTAGGGGTCAATGAGCGCGGGTTTTTCAAACTCGGCCTTTCTAATAAACCACTACTAAGTTTTCAAAATTATAATTTTTCGTTCTTTTTTACTTAAAATGATTCAAACATTTTATTCTTCACTCAACATACTTAGATGGATATAATCCATTGGGTTATGTTCTGTGATAGATAAAATTTGAAATATTTTAAGTCAAAAAGAAAACGAAAAATTATAATTTTGGATTTATGGAACAAAAAATACATCTTATTATGAAGTAAAACACGATTATAACCATATATTTTTTATTATTAGAATTAAAATTGCACGAATTCTTATTACAGTACACAATAATAAAGAAATATGAATATAAAACTATTGCGAAGTTCACCCATGGTTGTATCCAGTAGAAGTTGTAACGAAAGTTCCTGGGGAAAGTTGGCTCTGGCTGCTGTTGTGTGTACTTGTCACTTCCTATTGCAGTGTTTGCTGATTCGTTTTCATGTAAAAAATGAAGAAGAGTATCAGTTAAAAAATATAAAGTTCAATTTTATTATTTTTGTTTTGAGTCAATTCAGCTGAGCTATTAATTTATTAGCTAGTGAGAATGAATCGGCATTTCTTAAAAATATATCGTAGAAGATTTTTCAATAAAATGAAGGAATTTGAATTTAGTAAGAATGCAACTTTTATTAATTGGAATCAATAAATTGTGAAGATACCTAGGTGAGGTAGGTCACAGTATATAGAGCAAAAAATAATAAGAGTCGCACAATATAAAATATACAATTATTGGTATGTTTGAAAAGTACCTCATTTTAAATTCGGAAAAAAAATTGTATATAGGTATCTACTATAAAGTATCCATTACATATTGTATAATTCTAAAAAAATACTAATAACACTATTTATTTCAATCTTCTTAATATTCACATATTTTATCTAGTTACTGAAATTGTATAGAAAATGATAAAAGTTAGGTTAAGATTTTTAATTTTTCCTAGGAAACATTAGGTTACCCGCATTATTTTGGAAATTTATTTCACAAATTGGGTACTTTTAAGTAATAATATATACTCTTAAAATTTGGCAAAGTATTTAAGAATAAAATACAAAAAGAAGTTTTTACTTGTAAAGAAATAAAATTGTAAATGTATTCCTTACCTGCGACTAACTTTATCCTGACAATCTGGATCAGCACAAGGACGAATTCGCACCATAAGTATATATGTTTAAAGCTTTAAAAATTATCTTCGAAAAACTAACCTAATAAAACAAATCAACCATTACCATTATTGCCATTAATAGCGTTTTTTTAGCTGTTGAAAGTTTTAAATAACAACTTGCGTACACTTGCGTTACTCTGAACCTGCTCTGAATACACTCTGAATCTGCTCGACGAATGCAACAAGCAAACTTTGTGTAAGTAGCGCCATCTATGGGTGGTGCACAGTACTACAACACGAGTAAGCATTTCCCTATTAAAGATCCCCTAGCCGTTGTCTCTGCCCTAAGTAAACATGAAAAAGTAAACATAACCAAAAATAATTTGTAGATGTGTCAAATGAACGTCATAGTTCAAATGAAAACTTTTATTTTATAGTTAGTAATTTTTTATTTAAAAATGGATTCAGAAAAAGACATTGAAAAGGAGCATGTTCTTTCTAAACGTTTAAATAAAATAATCCAGGCTAGAATTGAAAACGATGAAGTACGACATTTTTTTATAAAATTTCATGAAACCAACTACTTATGATGTTCTTTTTTAGGAAACTATAAACGCATTCAAGCAGCTTTCTACTTTTTATACAGAAAATAGTTTACAAGCCCGTAGAAACCTAAGAAGTCAAATAGAAAAACGGAGTTTAGATATTAATAAACAGTTCTTATCTTCATTTTTAGAAGTAAAAAACTCATTTGACTGTATTTATAATGATATTGCAGATATGAGCAAATCAATACAAGAAATGGAAAATAGACTACACAACACAAAAACTCAAACCAAACAGTTGTTACAACAAACTAGTATTTTACAAAATGAAAGGTATTTTTCATAAATATAATTAAATCATAATTTTTATAATTATTTGTTTTTCAGGAAGAAAAATATAATTCAGCAAAACATTGTTAATGCTTTTCTAGATAGATTTCAACTATCTGAAGAACATTTACATATTTTGCAGGGGGGTAAAGAGCAACTACTAACTCCAGAAATATTCTCAGTTATAGACCGTGTACAAAAAATTCACAATGATTGTAAGATTCTTATGCAGTCTGGCCTCCAGACATTAGCCTTAGATATTATGGAACAAATGACTTTATATCAGGTCAGTATTTGTTGCCATAATGTATTTTAACTGATTATGGACTGATAGTGGCTATATCTAAATATTTTGAAGGTGAAATTTAAAAAAAAAAGAACAGGAAGACGTCGACTTTTTATTTCAAGGGTGACACCTTTCTATCCTATAATTTGCAAACCAATTTTAATCAAAAGTCGCAGGCCAACACAAAAATGTTTAATTAGTCCCACACCAAATATTAAAATTCTCATGTCTTTTTAATTTGAAATGAGTTTCTAATTAAAAAAAAAAAAAATATTTGTTCCATAAAAATTATTTATATAAAATTAAATTAAAAAAAAAATACAGTTTTTGGTAAAACAAAATTAAAAAAATAGCCAAGTAAAAAAATAACCTATTACACTCTTAAAAATAGTCAAATCACAGAAAACTTATGTTTAACTTACTAAAATCAACAGATTGTACAAAAGAATCCTATAATTTAAGTTAATTTATTTTAATTTTTTTCTATTTTTTTATATTGTTGATTGCTGCAGTAAAAATTTTCATAATATGGGAAAATTCCCATCATTCTAACCAATAGAATTTAATTGGGGAAAGTACCAAAGTAATACCCATCATTGAAAAAGTAATTTTATGGGAAATATAGCAATATGACTGTTCAGTTCATTTTGATTTTAGTGCCCTATAAGGGGATAAAAACTGTTATGTATTGTAAAGTGTGACACGTTATTCGAAAGCTAATTTTGTTAGTAATTTAAATGTATTTTGGTTAATTCTGATTAGTTTGTATTTCTTATAGTTAGACCTCTGATAGGTTTTCCATTTATTTACCAATGTATTTGAATATTCGAGCAAGCCCATTTAGGTTATACAAGTTGTTAAAATAGTTATACATTATATTAGTAAGTTTTGATTATTTTGCTTAAATCTATTTACAGATGAATCAAATATTATAAGATTATCCAGAGAGTTTGCCAATCTAAAAATATTTAACTTCATGTTTCATTCAATTATGTTACTATTATATTATGCATTAAATTACTAATAAAATTAAATTTCAAATAACAACACAATTGTTATCTCGCTAGAAGACTCTCAAATTAAAAGTAAGTCATATTGCTGAATTCCCCATAAAATTACCTTTTCGATAGTGTGAGGAGGAAACTGGCTATGACAGTTGAGGATATGATAGAAAAGGACCCTCAATATTTAAATTATTAACAGCCGAAAGCAAGAATGATATAATTATAATTTATGTATTCAATAATGTGATGTCTTAATGAAATAAACTTCAAATTACTTACAGTCTCAATATAATATATGTCAAAGCTTAATGGATTTTCTTGCAACTTGCAGTGTGTCCATATTTAAATTATTAGGCTACTTTTTAATTATAATATAACCTGCATCGACATCTAGGGATGAGACACAACCATGCTTTGTTAAATAGAAAATATATGTTGTTTAAAGGAAATTTACTAGAATTTGTAAGAACACACTTCTTCTGTGATATTACCCATGCCCAACCTAGCCTCTTGTCAACTACCTTGGTGCCTGTACTGAATATATCTTATATTTCTCGAGTATGTGACTAGAGGGTATAGAAAAATTCCACAAATATTTTTAAAGTGTACCAAGAATCACACACTACAAAATAGTTACGGTATCCGGAATCACGTGACCGGCAGTAGTGCGGAGTACTAAATAATAACTAGAATGCATCTTTTTGACTAAATTTAAGCAAGATTATAACCCCTCCATCACTGGGGTTTTAAATTATGTAGAAAAGCTGGCAGCTGAGGTTTTTTGAAACATATTGATCTTGCAGATGATGACTCATTTCATTATTTGTTTTTCATAGGAAGCAGCTTTAGAACGTTTGTATAGATGGACACAAAATCATTGTAGAAACGTTGAAAATCCAGATTTAACTGAATTAATAACGCAAGCAATGCTTAGGCTTCAAGATCGGCCAGTCCTATTCAAGTAAGTTGATATAGAATTAGTTAAATATAACAGGATGTTGGTTTACTCTTATATTTCAGATATGTGATTGATGAATACTGCATATGTCGAAGAAGTAAAATCACAGACGATTTTGTAAACGCTCTAACAAGAGGAGGACCGTCTGGCAACCCTGCGCCTATTGAAATGAGGGCTCATGATTCCCAAATTTACGTTACTGACATGTTGGTGTGGTTGAATAAAGCAATAGCGATAGAAAAACAGAATTTGAGTCTTTTGCTGATGCTTTGTACCAAAAATGGTAATAGTGAGCTAACTGTGTAGTTAAATGTTAAATAATACCCTCTCTAACTGTAAACACAAGTAACTACTTAAAGAGTTGACGATTTGTTTTTAATGCCATTAAATGGTGTTTTATGTTGGAAAGTGTTTGAAATAATTTATTTAATGATACATTAAAATTTTTATCATCCCTTTTAAAGTAGACATTCACAATAAATATTAAGTTATTTTAAATTTAAGTACAATGAATGAAAAAGACAATATATTTTTTATTGTGGGCTTTAATGCTTGGAGAACAAGTCCGTATCGTATACAGATATTCTTAGCGAAAATACATAATACTAAATTAATTTTTGACAAAAAATTCCTCTTATCTAAATACCTATGCTGTATAATAATTATTATGACATACTAGCACAGTTCTGCAGATTCCGTCTACTTCTGAAATTAGATTCAATAACTAATTATTTCCCTTCTAAGGAGACTTCAATAGCTCTTTTTTATAAAATTTTAAAAAAATTAATCATTTAACATGCAAGGATAATGTCGCATTTAAATTATAAGTGAGTTGATTTTTGCAGCCAATCTAATGACATTTTCATATAAGATTATTTAACAACGCTTCTTCAAATGATAAAAATGGCATATCTACCCGACCTATACATGTCCTATAAATTTGTAAATCGTATTATATAACCCCGAATACAATAAAAACTTTTTTGTTTAGATTCAAATGATATCATAACCGATTCCTTAGCTGTAATTTGTGAAGGCATCTGTCAGCCTCTAAAAATGAGAGTCGAAAAAATCATAAACGTTCCATCACAAGCTTCAGTATTATATTCAGTTGTAAATTTGCTACGTTACTACAAAAAATGCATTTGTAAAGTAAGTTTAAAAAACAATCAGTTAATTACAATTATTGATTTTTATTTAAAAAAATTAATCGACCATCCCCCGTAGATCGTCAACAAAGGATTAATACAAGAAACTTTACAAGAACTGCAAGAAAATTCTGAAAAATCGTTCTTGGCAACATTGCAAAATCAGGTCGACAGCAAATTGGTTAGGGTCGAAGCGCCGCCTAGAGATTTATCGCCAACTTTGGCAATCACGAATTTATTGGCTATGTTAAGAGACATTTTATCCACTGCCAATATGAGTGAAGGGAGAGAAACCGACATGGTCAAGGTAAAAATAATTAAAATTAAACATTTAAAGCATTCAGGGTGTTTCTCAATCTTATAAATACATTCGACACAATTAATTGACAATTCAATTGAAATATATTTAACCCAAATTTGAGGGTGATTGCAACTAACTGAATTATGGATCAATTAATTAAACACAATATGTTGATTCTACAACCATTTAATTTCAACTGCCAGTACAAAATATAAAAATTAATGTAGTAGATAAAATAATTATATAGGATGACATTCCATAAGGTATAGCCCAAAACTGCCAGACTCTGGAAAAGAGCTAGCAGTTTTAGAAATTTCGAGCATATTTGCTAACAGGATCATAAGTTTATTGGAAAAAGTGTCGATCCCTACACTGACACGTAAACGTGTTTTGCAACTCGTTAAAATGCAACATGATAGCAAAGCTTATATGGGGTATCCAACAGTTAAAAATTAGAATGATAACTAAGTTTTAAAAATTTCATAAAATTAAGAAAGGATGTTACTTACCTATGTCGTACGCCACTGGCAAAGTTTGTTCAACTGATTTTTTTTCTAATACACCTAGTGTCTGATGACACCAAAAATGTATGCCGAATTTAGTAAAATTATACGAAGTTATAACAAAATTATAACCATGAACCATTTTTGAATTTTTAACTTTGACACCCTGTATTTCATTTTTAATGGGACACCCTGCATGGTCAGGAATACTTGTGAATAATGTTGCCTGCTTGGATAAGACCGACTTAAACATTTTATATCGATTAAACAAATCAGTTAACATACAGCTAAGCTAAATTGTCGTATTTTGAAGAATTCATAATAAAATATATAAACGATCAGTTTAATTAAATAAACACTTTAATTACCCATCGTATATTTACAGATTGCTCAAACCATAATGGAACCTCTTCTTAGAGCAGTAAACGAACAATCGTCTCGTTTACCCCCAACAGATATGGCAGTATACATGTTAAACTGCATGTACGAGATGTACACCTGTCTGTCACTCTACGAGTTCATGGATGACAGATTGGAACGTTTGGAAGCACAATCTGATGCGCAAATCGACACTTTGACGTCCGAACAAGCAGGATCTTTAGTGGCCAACTTGAATTTGGGACCTATTTATACAATCCTGCAAGATCAGAGTCACGGGGCGTTGTCTGAAGTACCTGGAATGGAGCCCAGTAATCTTAGAAATTTCTTAGTAAGCCTTCGTTTTTAGCAATTTTGATTTTTTATATCAATTTTAAATGAATTTTTTAGGAAAAAATGGACTACCTGGCTGCACATCCTGATAGTGCTCTATTGCAGCAAATTAATTTATTAACATCATCTAAACATAAAAAGTCTGTCCAGAAAAGGTCGTTTGATGTACTTCTGGCCATTTATAAGCAACTCTATCAAGCCGTTTTGGACCCTGTAAATAAATATGACAGTCCTCATGTTATATTTAATAAAACTCCTGATGAACTGGAAAAGATTTTTTCGTAAATGTTTTCATATTATTAGAATAAAATGTTTTTAGGTTGTAAATAAAAAGTATCAAATTTTTAAATCGAAAAAGTTAGTTTCCTTCTTGTCTCTCTCCGCCAGCGTTATATCCCAGATTGCATTCATTCAAGTGATACGGTTTACATTAAATTTCTCTGGGGCGAGCGCTCCGAATCTGAAATCGAGCTGCTTCATATAGTTACTTTTTAAGGACGACACTAGGGCATTCGGACTAGTAGGTGGATTTGGAAGAACAACAAAAAACAAGTGAAAAGAAGAGTAAGAAATGGTATTTTTTTATGTATCCTGCAATAAAATTATTTTTTGTCACAGTCTACGTAGCTACAATGTTGGCAATCTTATACGTAAGAATTCTCATGGTTCCTGCCAGCAGCGGTTCCAAACAGGAAATCGATAGCTTCCACACGGCCCCTGGTAAACGAACGTTGCAGAATATTCAGAACCACTTTCACCACAATTAAGGTAGTTCACTCGCGACAGTCGTACATTAAAAAATAGCTTAATGGTGAATACCAATAGTTCGAGATTCTCAATGCTAATCAATTTTATTTTTGAGAGACTGTACAAAACACATGTAAGCTTATATCATCTTATATATATGGATTTTAATAAAATGCATCCGGCAACCTCGTAAATACATGAATGGTTTGCTATAGAAATTTGTGACTTCCTCATATTAATTTTAAGGGTTTGTTTTGGTTCAAACAGAACCGCTGATTCCAGTTCTCAAATACAGTGCGACATGCAACCTTGTCCACTCGAAGATCAATGACAAGATTTAAAAGAAGGAAGCTTGTATACTGCCCAAAGGTATCTCCAAACTCCAAATATATTTAACCAAATTCTCTTGAGAATAGATAGAATCCATTTTTAGCCATGACAAGACAATAGTTTTACTTTTCAAAATCCAAACAAAAACAGGGCGATTGTGCCAAATGTCTGTGATTTTTCAATTTTGTTTCTCTGTTATTACCTGCGACTTGTACCTACATATATTTGCGGGTTTTTTGGATCTATAAATTTTATATATTTGAAATTTAAATTAAAAACATTTAGAGCGGCCCTACGAAACCGTACCATTATTAGGAACTATAGTCAACATTTTAGACAAACGCTCAATTATTTTATTATCTATCATCAATTTTATAATGTATTGTCCCTTTTTTAAAAAAAAATTAAACCAAAATTTACCCATTGATTTGACTTAAGTACAATAAATTTAATTTATAGAAAAGGAATTTATAAAAAAAATCGAAAAGAATCGTGATGATAAAAAACTTTTTCACAAACTTAAAAATAATGAAAACAAAGAATTAATCAATTTTAAAATAAAGTGCATTTAGAAGAACACATTTTAAATAATAATGTACTTATTGTATGGTTTTTACAATGCATGAATGTAAACAACATTTTTAGATGAAAGTTATACAGGACCGTATTGAATACATTTTGGAAATATAGTAAATTTTTAATGTTTTTTTTTTAAATATGTTCATTTTAATGACTTCTATGCTCAGTTAAAAAAGTATCAACTTAGGATTCACCCTGTATACATTATACATGCACAGACACGAATTCATAGAAACAAATAAGGCAAAGTTCATTTTTTTTAATGTACACAGTGAAATTGATATATTTGACAAATAATTTATAAATGTAGAGATTAAAGTGTATAGATACACTTTATGTAATGTGAGTCAACAAATTGGAAGGAGTGTTCATATATTCCAGTATAGAGTAAAATGAAAATATATTTAATAATTTTTTTTTTATATTAAACCTATTTTTACCTAAACTTTTATAATTATCAGAAAAAATGATTATGGAGATTTCGGTTTCTCTGACTTTATATATATATATATATATATATATATATATATATATATATATATATATATATATATATATATATATATATATATATGTACTGCAGGTCCCAAAAACAATGACGTCATATTGAATATTGTCTTGAAATGATCAAGTTTAACATGACTACAGTAAAAACGTGGTCATCACAGGCATGAAATGTCAAATGAGATGACAACAAAGCAACTACACCACCAATTTTCTCTTCATATTCGAGATCAGTACACAAAACAAATATTTATTTTTTATCCTTACAAATTCAAACCAAATCCTAACTACAATACACATACACAAATTCGCTATATCTAACAATGTCATGCTCATTGTTAATATAAACCTAACATTTTTAAATCAGATTAATAGAACGTTATTATAATGACTTAATCTTGATCACTCTTGACTTGGTCACATTTCTAGTAACCGATTTAAAATCGCCTCTTAGTAAATAGTAATGAATTGGTGAGTGGACTTGTATTCTGTTACACCACACCTCATCCTGTATAAGATAAAAAATAAAAAACCAAATGAAATAGTATAATAATTTTATATTTTACTTATAAATAATAAAATAACATCACATGTAAATAATAAAACAAAATGAATAGATATATACATAAAGCGCAAGCCTTAAGGACAGTCTAACTATTGGAACAACAGCTCTTGTTGGTATTTGGTACCTGTTCATCATCTACGACTTGGACCAACCTTTGGGAATTTTTCCTTGTTAAATGGATTTCTTGAGCTGCCTTTAATTTGGCTTCATCAAGCATTTTTTGAGTTAATGCAAGGAACATATCTTCCACACCTTGGTTCAGTTTAGCCGACGTTTGGAAATGCATTGCTTTGACTTTTTCAGAATATCTGAAAGAACAATTACACAGACTTTCAAATAAACAACACAGGATTTTCGATTTTTTTTTTATTTAGCCCAAAAATAGGTTTAATCTGTAAAATTTACTAAGTTAGCTGGATTTGGTAACATAAAAAATGTGACAGAAGTTCCCATTGATATTGTGCAGACTATATGAGATATTCAAAATCTTGCAGGTCGATTGAGGTACAACTCTTGCCTATTTTTTATCCCCAACACGAATCTGAAATAATCTATAAATAGATATAGTTTCTGAATTATCTCAAGTAAAATATTTTTTTCCAAGGGGTGGTGATGCATTCAATGTGAAGGTAAATACGCTAGTTCAGTGTAATGTCATTTTGGTTACACTGACATTTAATTCTAACCAAACTTTTAACAAAAACATCAATAAATTTGACATATAGGTTTTTACTGTTTTTAGTTTATTTCTAAATATTGTTTACAGGTCATAAAAAATAGTTTAAAGGTATGTAATTGATAACTAAACGATTGTATATTTGATGCATGTTATCTACTTACTTTAGTAATATATTTATAAAAGTGAAAAAATGATATAATTTAGGTAAACAAAACGCACTCAAAATATCTACTGTCATTTTAATTGTCAGTGGAACCATAATTACATCATCACTGAACTAGTGTATTGAGGAACCTTAATTGAAACAGGTCTATTGGTAAATTTAATTTTTGAATTACTGTAAATAGTGTTTATGTTATATGTATTTATTTAAATTTTAGTATGTTAATGTAGGTTGTGTAACATGGCAGATGTGTATTTACCTACTTAATCTATTTTCCCTGTTGGGAAGTTTTTTAAAATGTGAAGTAATATTATCATTTTAGAGTTTGTATCAGTAAATTAATAGGTAGGTATGTTGCTAAAATAATAATAATGATTCCATTAAGCAATTTAAAATGTGCTTATAATTTACTTTTTATACATATCATGGTGTAGTGAATTGACTAGATATGAAGCCAAAGAAACTTCCTCATGCTCACACTTTTATTATATTGCTGTTACAAGTATTATAGTTCTAATTTAACTTAAAACAATTTTGCAGGTACCAAGGTGTTGAGCCTTTGTGCACAATTACTCACGTTTTGGCCTCTTCTAAATCCACATGCCGTTCTTTCTCCAAATCACTTTTGTTTCCAACAATAACTAATGAAATATCAGTACCTAACATTTTACGAAGTTCCTTTACCCAACATTTTACTTTTTGGAAGGAATCTTCATCAGTAATATCATAAACTAATACTGCTCCGTTTGACGATCTATAATAAATTGGCCCCAATGCATGGAATTTCTCTTGGCCCGCTGTATCCCATATAGAAAGATTTATACGGCTACCATCTAAATTCAGTTTCTTAGTTAAAAAAGAAGCCTGAAAAAATTAAAAATACACATATCTGAAGCATTGATTTCTTAAGAAGCCATACCTGGATGGTAGATATGTGCTTGGGATTAAATTTGTCTTCTATATATCGAATTACAAGACTTGTTTTGCCTACACAACCTTCGCCTAGTAATACTACCTTAAAATTAAAAGATTCGCCACCGTTTGACGTGTTTGCCATATTTTTTTTCTAGAACTTACAAAAAACAATTAATCTCATTAAATATCTTCAGATTTTTATCTATAAAACAAATAAAAACACTTCTTCGTAATGTAATTAGATTTTTACTCTAAACTGAAAATCTGATTATTCACAAACGTCACTGTCAATAATCAAATGCCAAAAATCTTGGACCTTATAAGTCTAGACTAGAAATTTTATGAACTTGTTTTGAATATTTCGGAAACTAGTTCAGAATCACTGAATTACACTGGATCAGCTGGGGTGCGTTCAGAAATGTTGGGCAAATGCGTCCGGACGTTGTCTAAATTCTAAAAAGCGTTCCAAAATATGGAACGTTTTATCTGGACGAATTACCCCAGCCGTTCCTATTTAAAAGAAAAACGTGTCGGGATAAAAAAATTTTACCCACCGTGTTGAGTAGGGTAATTTTTACTCAACTTGCGCAGTATGTCGTAACCCTAATTAACCTAAGAGAACCATCTAGTATTTAATTTCCTATTTTTACTTTTTGAGTAAAACATTTAAATATGAGTATGAGTGAGAGAATTAATTCCATCAACGATGGTAATTTCATTATAGAAAATGATAAAATTTTATGACACAGGATTAAAGGTAATGACCCAGTATAATTAATACTTATACTGGGGTAATGAATTGAATTTTTACATAAAAAAGTCTATGTGGACGTCAATTATAGGTCTGTTCTGGTTTTGAGAAATAACGATCCACAACTGTCGGGCTCATGCGCAGTAGATAAAAAGTGTTCTGGTTTTTCTGGGGTGTTATTTTCAAAATCGAGAGAATTCATTTCTCTCGAGAGAAATGTCATACGTCAACGTAAAACAGTATTTTTAGGGTCCTAAGGGCCAGTGTAAACTCACTGATTGTTTCTCACGGTTTATTTAGAGATAATTAATATCCTCCTAAGAATTTTAATCCTCGATGCCTTTAAAAACAGCGTTTCCACATTGACGTATGACATTTTTGATGAGAATCTTGAGAGAAATGAGTACTCACACGGTTTGAAAATAGGTCCCCTGGGACTACTTCGAATCTCTCAGCCCAGTGTTCTGGTTTCGTATCCGAAATAATCTGTGATTGTTGTAAATAGTCAAAATGTGTTCATGCTTGGGAGTGTGGATCGACTCGGACTGTTTTGACCGCGCATGCGTTTTTTAAGTGTTACGAATATTGTATTGGCTTTTTAGACCATACGGAACGTATGAGATCCCAAATTGTTTATTTATATGTGGACGAATGTCTCTTGTTCTTGTTTTATTTGTAAATTAAAGCAATTTTAGAATTATTAATTTTTTAATATTATTCTGTTTTTATTTATTCCATTGAAATGTGATGATAATGATAAACATATACATGCAAATGTTATTTGAAGCTGAGCTTTCAAAAGGAACTTCATTATTATAATAAACAAATCACCTTTATGTGTTCTGGTTTTCCAACAATTTCAAACAGTCGGGGATTTTTTGCCTTTACGCATACGGTCCGGCGCAGTTTCAAAACAGTTTTCATTTTGAGAACCAGAACAAACCTGATGTTAGATATTTACTAATTTTTGATAATTCCTAAAATCTCAGATAACAGAAAAGACATAACAAAAAACTTGATTTCACGATACTTTGGACTTACCGTTCATATTTATCGGGCAAATATAAACGTTCTGACGAATTTTGTCCAGACGATTGAAAATTTGACGCTCTCCATTTCTGAACGCACCCCTGAGGTTGTTATAACCTCACGTAATGTTCTTGGAAGATTACAGTGCAACCTCGATAATCCGAACCCACGCTAATCCGAACGCAAATCGTGATAGTCCGAACGCCGCCTCTGTAATCCGAATGCTGACAGGAAAAGACCTGCAGCGCGGCCCGCGTCGCCCATATGTAGTTTGATAATGCATTTAAATGTACAAAAATCAATATACATACATAGATCTAAAGGTCTAAAAATGTGTAAAAGGTGTTTTATTGTATATTCATTAATCCGAACAAGGTCTGACAATTAGGTGTTCGGATTAAAGAGGTTGCACTGTAATTCGTTAATTGTATTTGAGGACGGTTCTGTCTGAACCAAAACAAACAATGTTAATTTTGTAAAGTATAATAAATACTATAGATATGTGATAAATACCGCATTGATGTAGTATGAAATATGAAAGCGAGATGCAATGACGAACATTAAAGCGCCATATTGATATTACACCTCTGTCAGTTGTTTAAGTAATCAAATACCGTTTATTTTTTCGCACTGGGTTAATATTTTATGTTTTTCAGTAACTATTTTTATTTATTTTAATACAAAATATGGTGTTATGTGCTCTACGGATGTATGTGTTCTAATAGTGTAGAAAACATCAGGAATAACTTTTTATAGGTACCTAAACGTAATAATGGATATGGCCGTACTTAACAAATAAGTATTGGCCAATTTAGTAACTTTTTATTAACATTATTTGTTAAGATTTTCATAAGGGAAGTTGTTTTTTCCCTTTATTATAATGCTCATAAAAATTGGCTCCTTAACAGAGCAATATAAATTTTTTTTTCAAGAACTTCTAACACAAAGGTAAAAAAAATTGCTGTTGTTTCTATTGAGTCTACAAATAACAGTGTACTTTGTTTAAGGCATTTTGATGAAAAATTCATTGATAGAACATCCTTTTGCTTTCAACACTAACCCAGGGCCCAGGTAGATATCTATGGAACTGATACAGTTCTCATTTTCCTATGGTGTTTGCAAAAATATTTTTTTTTATTATTATTATTATTTGTATATTTTGCTCCATTGCAGGATGAGTCTCCTATACTTCCCAAAATATCAAAATTTTCAAATGTTTTGAATACACCAACGCCAAGTGAAATGAAACTCGTAGTATTCCATACCCTCCAGGCTCCCCCGATTGTCGCCGTTTACCTAAAAGTTCTCCTCTCAAATATCTGGTTTGTATCCACTCCTGCCCATCAGATCACAAGTAGGATTTTTGAGGAAAATAATAATACAATGTGATATTTCTAAAATTTTAATTTACTTCATTTTTGGTCACCACCACAGAACAATGGTCTACAGGAATGGTCACTACAAGCAATCCACCTTTTCCATTATTCGATAATTTCATGTAGCTCATACGCGAAAAAAGCGCGCGGGACTTTTGAATCTAGTAATTTTCCAAATACTTTTTTGCTCTCTCTCTCTCTTATCCTGGCCTAAGAACTGTTGGGTTGGATACGACGATTGCCCCCTGTCATCGTTACTTTAACCAACTGTCATCGATTCTATATCTTTTTGATACACATTTGCAAAAGGCTAATCGTTAATTCTTATCCTGTAGAAGATGAAAATACTTTGCTACAAACGCACTGCAATCGATCTATCGGTGAAATGCCCTTACAGCAGTCTGTTGTGCGCTGAGGTGGTGAAATCAGAATAAGAGTTGCTCAGTCGCCAGTTTTGATAACACAGTTTTCTCTGGGGCCCTGTAGTACACCAGAGTGTACTTAAGGTAGTTAAAAATACCTCCAGGTGGCCACCGCGAATGCCGTAGCCACAAAATTATAATAAAAGATATAATCCTACCTTACACCTTGTACCCTACGGTACCCTTAAATAAAACGGGCGAGAGCCGGTAATAAAAGAAACAGGTATTATTAACAAAATATATTTACAAAAATAAAAAAACAATCTAACAACTTGGGATACAATGTTCGGTACCTCCAGCCCTCGTGGTGTGATAGAAAATGAATTTCCACTTAATATGAAATAACTAAAACGGCAATGTCGACACCCCCGGTATATTGGAAAATAATTTTCCGATCAAATAAATTATTTAAATACAATAGTTAAACAATAAAAAAAATGTATATAAAATAATGAAAACGTTAATTCGGCAATCCCTGTATATTAGAAAATAACTTGTCTATCCAATAAATTGTTTAAACACAATAGTTAAACAATAAAAAGAAACTATTCGGTATGAAATAATTAAAACGGTAATTACGGCGCTCTCTGTATAATAGAAAATGACTTTCCTATCAAATTAATTGATTAAATAAAATAGTTAAACAATAAGAAAATAATCGGTATGAAATAATTAAAACGGTAATTACTGTTAATTCGATACGGAATAAATTAACCTTTTATTGCAGCACTCCCTGTATAATAGAAAATGAATCATTCACCTATGCGGCGGGCGCCAGATGGGAAGGTCGAATGCTAAATTCTGTAGGAACACATGCCATTCATATCGTCTGGTTTGAAAGTTGAAACGGGATAAGTTCCGGAGAGAAAACAAACAAAAAAAAACGGCGTGAGTTAGAGTCGCTCTGACTTGAAAATTACTCGGTTTTTAAGGAAATTGTATAGAACAGGTGACACTGTGAAACACTTGAGCCAGCTGTCAATTAAACCTCAAAAAAATACTAGCGGTTTTCCCAACAAACAAAAATAAAGGAAATTAAATTAGACCCTACCCTCCAGTTTGGACTCGGGTCTTTTTAAGGAAATTGGGTAAAACCTGTGACACTGTGAAACACTCGAGTCACTGTTAACCCAATCTCAAAAAAAAATTACCAGCGGTTTTCCAAAAGAAATAGAGTGAAATAATTTGAAAATAATATAACGCTCTCCGGCTATTTAACAACGTGTTTATTGGATACCCAAACTAACTGGTAAAATGATTATAATAAAAATAGCTCCTACCTTGAGTTTTGTGGTGGTCGGCGATACGGAACACTAAGATCAACTTTGCGGTACTATATGAAAAATAGTCGACGGAAGATAGCAGCTGAGAGTCGACGGTAAACAGCAGGAGAAGATAAGGAGGTTACTTGCGCTAGCATATTTATGTCTCACGAGCAGACGAGTTCGGCAGACGAATTAGGTTTCCGAGCAATTCTGGAGTGGGAGGAACCACCTATACAGTTCCACTGTTTACTAGCGGAGAAATAAAAAACGTCCTTTCGACACTTGCCGAATATACCTAGATAATTTACATGAAATTGCATGTTCAAATCCGAATTTATCAGGGAAGAACAATTGTATTAAGATCTAATGACGTTTAAAATTATGTATCGATGTTTGATATGTGAAAATTCGAAAAATATGATTATAATATCGATTTTCGAATTATATTTCGACGTCTGGACTTGGACACTCCCTAAAATAATTCAAATGAGCCCAAAGAGTTTTAAAATTAAAATCTAATTTAGACTTGGAAAAACTATTCAATCGACAAGAATGCACAAGAAAGATACAAAAAGGTTTAGAATTAAATTTCGACATTTCAAAGAGTTTGAAAATTCGAAAAATTCAATTTTCAATTCGAATTTCGACTGGTCAATCGATAAAAATGAACAACAAAGATTCAAAAAAGTTTAGAATTATATTTCGAAGTTTGTCTACTCCTTAAAATAATTATAATATGCGCATAGTTTGAATATTTGAAAAATACAAATTTCGACTTCGAATTTTTCCATTTTTGTCTCAGGTTTATGTAAATACCTAAGTCTTTTGTTTGCTTGTTTTCTACATAAAATTGAATGATTTAACTATTAGTCATTCTGTAATTATTTTAAACATACATGTTACTGTTTATTCTCTTTCCAAAACCAGTTATGAAATATTCCGAGCATTTGTGAAGCCTCGGCGTTTCTACCACTAAGGACTAGCAGAGTATTTAACCAGTTCCGCTGGATTATGTTATTAAGTGATAATTTTGTTTATTTTTTATTTTATTATTTTTTGCCACTGGTGAATGGATGTTCCTTCCGGACTCCAGGACCCTTTAGCTGGTGACAGTGCTACTACCTTCATCCCTTAATAGTATATTGATAACAGTAGTTAAATACCTATCAGTTGTTACACTGGTTCTTTAGACTAGTTGGTTGTTACAGCTGTGGATTACTTTTGGGATAACCCTCGTATGTATTTTATTCTAGTGAAAAACATTTTTTTTGTTAAATATATTTATTTATAAAATAGCCATAAAATAAGATGAAAATTTGGCAAGTACAAATAATTGTATTACTCACCAGAATATTCAATATAATTTATGATATCAAATAAAAGTTCTTTTGTGATTTTGCAGTCATAATTGTCTTTGAAAATCGGCAGAAGCAGGTTTAATAAGACGTTGATTTTTTTGGTGTATACCTTACGAGCATAAAATGTTACACTCTTGCATTATCTAAATTATAATGATATTTACTGCCACATACCCTTTCTGAAATGTTTAGTTTGATCATTTATATGGCACCCAATTTTTATTTATAATGAACACCCCAAAACAAGTTATTAAACAAATTATCCCTAAAATCTTTGAATAATTAATATTATGGAAATTAATCGAAACCATTAATAGATACACGTTCTGCTATACAATTAGCTAATGTTTACTAAACGCATGAAAGCAAAGCTAAGATGGCTCCTAGCATGCGCATATCTCTTTTGGAGTCTTTTCTGTAACGTTTTAGTTAATTTTAACCACCAAGTTAAAAGGTTATTTATAACTATGACAATTAAATGTTAACCCAAATCTCTATTCGATACTCCATTAATTTAATTTTGTCTTGTTAGCTATTTTATAACCAATACCAGTTAAACTAGATATCGCAACTATGTAATATATCTAAAAGTGAATGAAAATAAGCCCAGATCAGCATTAAAAATAATAAAAAGAACATTTTGGCATGTAATCATTATTAAATTTATTACTGACATAAGTTATAATTTTAACCAAATAATATTTTTAATTTTGTATTCTCTAATTATTTTTATAACCTAGGGTTAATTTTAAACAAATTTTACCGAATAAACCACATAGTATCATATAGATTGGTCTTAAATTTTTCTTGTATACCGTGCAACAGAAAGAAGACTATTCATATGATAAGAGAGACAAAGCTGATGAATGGCGTTGGCAATATCACTATTCTTTGCGACTCCGACTGATCTCATCCGTTGTCTCCGACACGCAAACGAAGTAAATTTAGCCTAGACCAGACCGGGTCCATAGCGCATGAATAGGTAAGATAATATATTCTGATTTTCGTTTTAAAATACCCAGGTATCATTTAAAATAAATTATGGTAAAATAGATACTCCTGCAATTGCTACAGTTAGGTGTACAATCTAACGCGTATTGTACATTACTGCACTTAACTTATGTTAGGGATGCGCACGATGTATCGATGTTTAAAAATCATCGATTTTTCGGTTTCGATTATCGGTAACATCGAATTTTTTTTATCCGATGTTATTTGGTAACATCTATGTTTTCCTTTTCGATGTTTTTTGGTGTATTGTAAAGCGTTACGGTTCAATTAATGGTTTGAATTCCTTTTTGTTCAGCGTTATGTTTTTCAATTGATGGATTACTTTTTTTTTGTTCTTCAATGAACGTTTTTGAAAAACATCGAAGTGTGGAGAAACAAACATCGATGTTTAGAAAAATCGATATTTTCTTTTCCGATTTTTTTTACAATATCGATAATCTGTATTCGATGTAGGTATTATTTGATGTCAACATCGATGTTTTATAAAATTTGCGCATCCCTAACTTATATCATATTAAATTCACACTGGGTGTGGTAGAAGGAACGACTCCCCACAAATCAATCAATCACAAAGTGGAATATAACGCATGCTCGCTTTTTATGAAGCTATCGCAATTTCTCCCGTTAATTCGCAATGCTGAAGAAATCTAAGCCGAATCTTTATATGCTAATAATAGCTTATGTAATTTAATAGAATTATTTATTAATACTTCTATGGTACATTGCTCAACTTTTGTTTGAACTGTTACGGATATATTTCACACTCGAACAGGTTCTCTTCAGTGTGCATTTTTAAGTGTAAATTTAAATGGGGATTCTGGCTAATCTGATTCGGACATGTTGCACAGTGTCTTTTCAAACCTGATGTATCCTTAAACTGCTTCGAACACATTGCACACATGAATGGTTTTTCTCCAGTGTGAATTTTTAAGTGTTTATTTAAATTAGTTTTACGGTTAAATTGTCTCGAACATGTTTCACACTGAAATGGTTTTTCTCCAGTGTGAATTATCAAGTGTTTTTCCAAAGAGGATTTTTGTGTAAATTGTTTTGAACATATTTCGCACTTGAATAGTTTTTCTTCAGCGTGACAGTTTAAGTGTAAATTTAAATCGCTCTTGTGTCTAAACCGTTTCGAGCATATTTCACACTTAAATGGTTTTTCTCCAGTGTGAATTTTTAAGTGTCTTCTCACATTGGCTTTTTGCGTAAATTGTAGCGAACATATTTCACAGCTGAACAGTTTTAGTCCATTGTGACTTTTTAAGTGTCTATTTAAATGAGGTTTCTGGTTAAACTGTTTTGAACATATGGCACACACGAATGGTTTTTCTCCAGTGTGGATTTTAAAGTGTCTATTTAATAGAGATTTATGGTTAAACTGTTTGAAACATATTGTACATGTACACAATAACATGCTCGGCTTTTCTCCAGTGTGAATTTTTAAGTGTCTGTTTAAAAGGGGTTTCTTGTTAAACTGTTCTGAACATATTGTACATCTGAAAGGATATCCTTTAGAGTGAATGTTTAAGTGTCTTTTTAAATCGGACTTTTGCCTAAATTGATTCGAACATATATCACACTGGAACGGTTTTTCTTCAGTGTGAATGTTTAAGTGTCTATTTAAATGGCACTTCCGCCTAAACTTTTTTGAACACATTTCACATTTGAACGGTCTACTATTAGTGTGAATTATTAAATGACGAAGTAGTTTACTTTTATGTTTAAAATCTTTAGAACAGACTTTACATTTGAGTAGTTTTCTTGCGGTATGTATTTTCTTGTGCTCAACTTTTAAGGGATATTTGCATTTAGGAAGTGATTTGATACAGTTTTTTACATAATGGAAAATGATAAAATGTTTTAAAAACTGCAACCGATTAAGAAAAAATCGTCCGCAATAGAAGCAATCCTGGTGGTATTTTCCAACGCTGCCATTGGGCTGTTTTTCTTTCCAAAATTGTGACCGATCTGAAATAAAGAAACTTATTTTAAACCTATATTTTAATTGAAACTACGAATTTTCAAAATAAAAGATTGTTACTGCACCATTATACAATACAATCAGTGGCGTAGCCACGGGGGGAGGGGGTTTGTACATGTCGTTTCACCGGTCCAGCCCTGATAGCTATCAGCTAGCTATATTAAGAAGTCAATACAAAAATAGTGCAACCTTGCAAGACTTCCGTAAACAAGATGTTTCTTAACTTAATATAAATAGATCAAAAATTATTTTCTCATTCTTGATTAGACTTTAGTTTTAACATTCTGGCTGTTAAGCACTATTCAGGTTCTCATTGTAATAGTTTTTTTTTAAATAAGTTAAAACTGTTTTATTCCCTTTTTCATCGTTTTATAAAAAATAATATTTATTTTTATTTACCTTTTTTTTAATTAAAACAATCTTATCGCAAATATTTCACTTTTTTGTTGGAAACCCCCCCATATATCTCAGAAAGTCTAGATATCGCTATAACCGTTTTAAAGCGATGCACCAGAAATCACTTTGGTTAACCTTGAAATCACGTGACTAAAGCCCTAAAAAGATAACCGGTTATTGTAACGCATTAACGTTAAATCGTTTTTTTCTACTCCCTTACTAGTAAATTGCCCATTACCTACTATTTGAATGCTAGTAAATATGTCATTACAGTTACTAACACGTAATGACTAGCACGTAATAAAAAAAATTACGCTTCAGTTCCATGAAAATATAATGTATCACATAAGCCTTGTAAGTCAGTTGCCATTATTTTGACAGAATTAAATTAATAATACAAGCTGTCAATGTAAATGTACAAATAATTTAAATAGAAAAAAGTAAAATGAGTTCATCGGATAGTGAAGATGAATTTAGTAGCACACCACCCAATATTATTCAGTTAGCTGCGAACACTACCAATAACCTATTACCAGAAAAATCAAAAGGAAGATATAAAAAGGTATATCAGCAATTTAAGGATTGGCGTACAACAAATAATATAAAATCATTTTCTGAAAACGTACTCTTGGCTTATTTTGGAGAAATCGCTAAAAAATTTAAACCGTCCTCATTATGGGCAATATATTCTATGTTAAGAAATGTTATAACTTTGAAAAATAATGTAAACATTGAAAATTATCCTAAATTGCCAGCTTACTTAAAAAGACAGTCAGAAGGTTTTAAAAACAAAAAATCTAAAATTTTACATGCTGATCAGATAAAACTTTTTTTAAATAAAGCTCCTGATGTAGAATATTTATTAACAAAGGTATGTTATTTAATAGTACCTATAACATAAATGTATACTTATATTACTTTTATTTTAAGGTTATTGCAATTGTTGGAATATTCCCTGATACAAAAACCAAAGTATGTAGATCTTTCGTAATTTCCGGAAATTTCTATAAAATCTGCAAACAATATATAGAGATTCGGCAACAAATTAGCGATCCGCAAATAAATCAATTTTTCCTTAACTATCAAAAAGGTAAATGTACGAAACAAGTGGTAGGATTAAACAAAATAGGTGGTGTTCCTAAACAAATAGCCGAATATTTAAAGTTACCAGATCCCAAAATGTATACAGGTCACTGTTTAAGACGAACTTCTGCCACTCTTTTGGTTGATGCCGGTGGTGATCTAATGGCTCTTAAACGACATGGCGGATGGAAATATTCAACAACAGAAGGATATGTCGATGAGTCAATAAATAATAAGACGTCAACAGCCAATAGAATTATAAATTCAATTGAAAATAATCTACAAACCTTTACTGAAAATACCAATGTCCAAGAAGAACACACCGTACAGTTTACGTCATCCCACCATTCACCGCGTAAGGGAATAGTTAAAAATAATTGCCAAAATGTTGAAGAACACACCGTACAGTTTACGTCATCCCACCATTCACCGCGGCTCGCGCGCAACTTTTTTACTCGCATGTAATAAGCTCCTTACAACTCTCGTTATGTAATATACTATTTTGGAATATAACATGATATGACATTTAATTTCTAGGTTAATTTTATGAAACTGGCCTGAATAAAATTGTGTGATGTTGATATGTTACCAAAAAGAATTATATTTGTGTAGACTGGATGTTACAATTTAATAAGGAACAGTTTGACATGTTTTTTACATTTTTTGATAATTTACGTAGCTGATGTCTTTTCCAATTTTGACTGAGCTAATTCTACAATCTAACCAAAAACACTAATTGCATGTCACTTCCACTTGTCATTATTAACCCACGTCTGGACTCGGGTATTTACCGGTTATAATTAATGACGTTTTAAAGGGCTTAAATATGACGTTATAGAAAGTAACCAAGGTTAACAAACATCGCTGTAATTAAAACGGTAAATACCGCAAATTACCGGTTGATCGCTTTAAAACGGTTTATGAGTACGCTGTCAATACAAAAAAACCACCCTAATCATGGTGGCTGCCGTGATAACTAGATTGTGTTGCTACCATATATACATCCAGTATATCGCCGATATCATAATTCACTTTTGGCACCAACAAGCAGCTCGTTGCGTTATTAGGAAACGCACCAAAGATAACAGTTATCTCTGGTAGGCACACAAAGAAGGCAGGTTGCCTGCTTGCTGGTGACAAGCGCTTATAAGCGCCCCGCACACAGACGAAATCGATTGGAACTTGTTGCAAGCGCCGATCGGTACCGAAAAATTACCGGAATGGATTTTTGATTGGCGGTGTCGGACATGTATTCCGCTCGAATTATGGACATCGAGTTATTAACCGAATTTTAATTTTTCTCAAGATATAGGTGAATGCCTTAAAAGTCATTCTCATATAGGGGAAAGGGGGAATACTGCCGCGTAAGTATTTTTTTTATACTTTAGATTTTTATAATACTAATAGTGATTCCGCGAGATGAGAGAGACAATTTGTCTCGAAAACAGATTCGAGACGAGCGAGCGTCATCTCTCAACGAGAATTTCTCGTTTTTCTCGAGCTCTCTCGAACAATTTTCTCTTTGCTTATTTGAAATTTTCAATTGCTTATCGTAACTTAAAATTTTAACACATTAGATTTCGAGATAGTCAAAAAGTTAACTATAACACACCTATTCTATATATATTAAATGGTAACAAATGATATTTCTGTTATTAGGATTTTATAAATAGTGATTTATAAGAAAAAATATTTCTCATTTCATTTATTTAAAATTTATACAATAATTTCTTATATTTAATCCATTATGCTTTTCTGAGGTTACTTTTGAAGATAAGTTGAAAATGTTTAAGCGTTTTTTTCGAAAAACTGTCTACCACACCCAGCGTGAATTTAATATGATATAATTTAGGGATGCGCAAATTTTAAAAAAACATCGTTGTTGATATCAAATAATATAAACGAATGTATTATATACAGTGAGGACGAAAATTGTACCCTCCTCTATTTTTACTTCTAAATGAAAAAGGATAATGACAAAACAAAAACGAGGTAAAACTCAAGAGATATTATATTTTTGTTATAACGCGATGCACTTTACTTGAGTCACGTAAGATAGAGGGAGTTACTAGCTTCAAATTTTATAATGGAAAGTAGGGTGTTGTGATACCTCATTTGAAAGATATTTTCTATATTTTTACGTTCATGTAGGTAAACAGATTTAGGTTTTTATGTTTTTACAGAAATTGCATTAAATAAATTCATAAATTAGGTTAAATTCTTTTTTTAATTTACCGCTTCAACCTCAAAGGGTCATTACCGGAGATTTAATGCCTTATAAATGCTGTTTTTTACAATAGTATACAATGGATAATTAACATTTTGGCTAGTACAGAGTAAATGTCAGTATCTTTTATAAATTTAGGTAATTTTTTACTGTTAGAGGGATTTAACACTGCACAAATTGCAATTTTTTGTAGCTGGTACTTTGTTCTTATACAGACATATTCTGGGCCTTTACTAATAAGTTACATTTTTGATAACTCTCGTATTAACAATTATTGTTTATTACTAAGGAAACGCTTCTTGTATTTACTAAAATAAATAAATAAATTAAGAATATTAAAGGTGATTTAAATTTTTCATAACTTCTTGGCAAAAAAAGCTTATTAAAAAAGTATCTTCTAACATTATCTAACATTTCTAGGATTATTGCGGCACATGAGGATTACCAAGAATGTAGTTTTTGTAAAAACAAAAAAAAAATAAAACTGTGTACTTGGACGTAAATATAATATCTTTCAAATGAGGTATTACATGACTTTACTTTCCATTAGAAAATTTAAAGATAGTAACGCCCTCTATTTTACGTCTTAAGTAAAGTGCATCTCATTATAACAAAACTATCATAATGTTTCTCTAATTTAACATTGTTTTTGTTTTATGTCTCCTATCTTCTTGCATTTTGAAAATATACTACAAAATACTTTTATTTGACATCGCAGGATTGCATTAGAAAAATTCTAACTTCCAATTTAACCTCTTTCCCCCCTTCCCGAACGACTTACAAGACAAAGTATTTTCGTTTTTAGTTAACGCCTAATCTGGGCCACTTATTACTTCAAATTTCAATGGTTAAACGACAGTGACAGACGAACATACATAAGTGTTTCTTATTGCCAAATTTGGGTACTAATGCGCAAATTACTTGAAAAATTCTTTGTTTTTTTCTTACAAATTTTACCGTTTTTTCATGTTTCGTCTTTTTCAAATTTAAATTTGATATTGTTTTATCACGAGAGAAACGAGACGAGACAAGATGAGAGAAAGGCTTTCTCGAGCGAGAGAAGCACTTTCTCGTCGAGACGAGAGAACAGTTTTCTCTCGCCCTACGAGACGAGAGAGGTCACTCTCTCGTCTCGCGGCATCACTAAATACTAACGTAAATAAAACTTCAAATCTTAATACTTCAAACTGTATTTACGAATATTTTTAAACAGAACCAATAAAAAATTAAAAGATTTTTTCCGACTACTGCAGATGGCCATACTTACCCGCGGGTCGTCAA